TCCCTACAGTGAATTTGCATGTAAAAGACCTGGTAATAATTCAAATGGTTTCCTATTGCAAAGTCAAAATTTTCCTTTTATTTCAGTTGCAGGACCTTTACGTTCCCAGTTCCCTTATTATTTCCTTAGCCAATGCCACCTATCTACAAGTACGATGGCAAGCATTCGATACAGATTCTCATTCGCTAATCAAAAGTACGTACTCTTGACCCTTGCAGATGTGGTAACAACTTGGGTTTGAAGGCAAAGAAATTAGCAGCAGCAAGTAAGGAAAGCAAACAGAAGAACAAGTAATGTCCTCAATGAGTCTGTAAAACACTAAGACTCTTTGTTTTCTCCATTTAAGGAGAAAAGGTGTGTATATAAAAACCAAATGTAAAATTTGCAGCAGAATAACTATTATTCTAACTTCTAAGTAGTGAAAACTCCAAAATTATAGCAAGAACAGAGCACTGATCTCAGTGGTGAACATAAGATTAGGATAAAGCCAACAAAATGAGAGAATCCATGATGAGGACCCTAATTACTAGGAAAACTTGTTCATGTTGCTACAAGCTAACCCCGCTTATTCAGATAAAAGCTTAATCCAGCAAGCTGAGAGTAGTAGAAGAAGTGTGTTTGGCCATTGAAACGGAGTATTTTGCTGTAAACATTAACTCTAAAGTCTAAATCATTCAAAAAATTCTCAACGATTCACTCCCATTAATACAAAGTTTTTCACACGAAAGATTCTCTAAACCATCAAAAACACAACACCTACAACCTAAAGAACATTAAAGTAGCTAAACATATTCTCAAACCTTTCATAAACAAATTCAGCAACACTGTGCTGAATCCAGCACAATTAGTTTCCACATTCTCATGGCTCAACAATTATAGCAAAATACAAATTCTAAAAAGAATAGGTATGACATGAGTACAGCTCATAGAACCAGCAGTGAAGTCGTTTTTTCATGACCAACATAGTAAAATTAACTGTGAACCTTCAAAAATTTCTCAAAGATCTCATTCCATTCTAAGTGTTATAGAGTAAAGTTTCAAGAAGCATCAGAAAACAGCATCTAGACTCTAGAGACAAATAAAATAGTTGAAATATTCTAAAATAATCCAAAAAAACCGCCATATTGTGTCAAATTCATCGTTATGAATGGCATAGGTATCTTGTATTCATTTCCACACCTTCATGGTTTAGAAGAATAACAATTTTTCTATAAATCTTCCTCAAATAGTACATACTCCAAAAAATACATTAACTAAAAACTAACCATTGATTATACATTAAATACTAAAAGCTAGATAATATCAAAAGTCGAAACAAAACGTGCAATTAATCGCATCGGTACGATCAATTTAAGAATCCAAGTCCATTATTTCTGACTTTTCTACACTAAATATTCGCTAATTATAAGAAAACACCTAGACTCGTAGATAACACTGAAGTAACACAAAAATCCTTAAAATGTCCACACAAAAAAAATCATACCGCGTCGAATTCAACAAAATTTCATTCCAAACAAGTTTTATACTAAATACAAACCTAGTTCAAGCAAGTGAAAATTGAAAAACCTAGTTCTGAATCGAAAAGGCACGAAAATCGAAATTGAGAAGAGAAAACTTACCCATACCGTTCGCCGCTGAGGTGGGTTCTGCTGCTTCCATGGCGGAGGAGGAGGTGGTGGTTGTTTGCTTAACGGGAAGCTTAGGAGCGTTCATGGCGGCTTCAAGGGCGGCGAGCTTGGCGGCGTCTTTGTTCTCGTAGAAAGGCTCAACCATATCTCTCCTAATGGCCCTCAGCCGCTTCTCTCTCTTGCACCTCATGGATTTCGCCATTGTTGGAGCTCGAGAAGACCTTACGAGTGTCTTCTAGGGTTTTTGTGGCAAGTGAAAAAGAGGGTTTATTAAGAAGTCCAGCGTCGGTCATATTAGGTTAAGCTCCCACCATCTTTAGTCCTTTACGAGTGTGAAGCGTCTTGGGCTGTTTGGCTGCGGTTGAATTGGTATTCCTCTTCTGGATTGTAATTTTATTTATTTATTCATCTATTTATTTCAAATTTTGGTATTTTTTACTGGTGAAATTTACGTATTTTAAAGCTTAATAATTATCTCACACTTTTAATTGATTTTAGAACAAAATTTACTCTCTCCCTTATCCTATATGGCCGGCCGCCATAGGCAAATTCCTCCTTTTGGTAGGCGTAAATAGCAAGATGTGAATGAGGCAAAATTATGTTTTTATCCTACAGTCAAATTTTAACTTAAATTCAAATTCTAATTTAAGTCAAACTTAATTTAATTTAAATTTTAATTAGACAATTTATTAAATAAATTAATTAGATAACTTAGAGAGTAAGTAACTGAATCTCAGAGAGATTCACACTGTGTTGGGTGTGTACTCCATGTGGACACCTCCACATGTGTGTTCCAAAATTTAAATTTAAATAATTATATTATTTAATTTATAATTAATTCTCAATTAATTATTCTTGAGCATTTTATTTTAGAATTATATAATTTTAAAATTTCCATTTTGCCCTTAGTGTCTTGTAGGATTACAAGAATGACGCGGAGACTCATGAACTTATAATTCTGAGCTCCAATAAAATTAATAATTAATTAAAATTCTATAATTAATTAATTAATTCTATAATTCTAAAAAGTTACACCACTATAAACTTAGAATTTCACTATCGTTATTATATATATAAATTACTTTTAAATTGTGAAGTGTCCATTTAATATAGTCATTACATATAGATCAATCCTCCATAAATAATTTATAATTAGAGCTAGGTGAAATTTTTGTTAACCTCTCTAATTACATCTTTATTCTTGAGTGCCATTGATTTTTTAATGAACAATGATTCATAAAACAAATTCATGAATCAAAGTTGCTACTAGTCCAAGTACTGAATCAATCCTCAAGAAAATTATTTATCTACTTCTTTCTCAAAAAGGAATGGATTATATCTCGTATAATAATATTCTCGGCTACTTATTTCACCATATCTCTAAAATACAAGGAATAGGACTCAACATCTCAAAATCTGTACCGAGTAAATCAAAAGACACAAATCCATAAATATGAGTATGCTAATAACTCAGGAGTGAGATCGTTCTATATATGACTATCAGTAGACTCAAATAGAATTTTTATACTTAACGAAAATTATCAAAAATTCATATTGCATCTATGTCCCGACTCCACACAATCTCATTATGTGTAATACACTCATTTAATATCTCGTTATATAAATAGTGTTGATAATATCATTCCATTTTAAATGAGAATGACATGTATTACTAATGTTTCAATTAAAGTCACATAAATAATCATGAAACTTTCAGTGATATTCATAAAATATTCGATAATATATGCACATAAAATAATGAATAAACTCTTTTATTAAATAAATATTAAATATCCTATTACATCTCATGTTTCTAGGACATCATTCTCAACAATCTCCCACTTGTCCTAAAGCAGGTGTGACATGTCTCTTATCCCGGATCCTTCTAAGTGTCTATCAAATACATTCAGTGGCAATGTCTTCATGAACGGGTTAGCAATGTTGTTCTCTGATGCGATCTTCAGAATCACTACATCGCCTCTCTCTACTATGTCTCTGATCAGGTAATATTTTCTTTCTATATGCTTAGCACTCTTATGATTTCTAGGTTCTTTTGAATTAGCCCCCGCCGCACTGTTGTCAACAGTCTCATCGCTTTTAAGTTAAAAATGTTAGTTTTTGGAGAAATTGTAGGAAAGTTATTATCAATGAAGATTATAATCACATTTATTCAACCAAATTAGATTAGGTTAGGATAGGCGTCAAAGTGAGCCTACAATTGGAAACAGTATTGGAATCGAGTAGGGATCGCCTTTGGGGTTTGACAGGTCATTAGTCTGACCTCAACAAGAGTGATTGATATGTTTGTTAGGATAGAGTGCTTTGGGCTAATTTGGCATTGTTGGGTTGTTAAAATTTTTTACTGTTGTTGTGTTGTTAGTGAGAAGCTTCTATAACCAAAAACATGCAGATATTTGGTTTTTTTTTTTCAAAGCTGCTGTCAATACCAGAAACAGAAATTTAGGTGTTTGGTAAACTATGCACAAAATTACTATGAAGATGTATAATGACTAAAATAGACATACTTTAGAACACATATTTATAGTTAGTTTTATTTCTATTTTTATGGTCAATATTCATAATATTTTTACACCGAAATGCTAAAAATATAAGTTTAATTTTATTAATTAAAACATCTCTAAAAAAATAAATTTCTTTTATTGAAAGAGATAAATTATAAGAGGGTAAAATATTTTTCAAACTTGCAACAATTTATTGTTCAAACTATCCATTTCATGACAATCGTTAAAAATATTAAAATTTAACATAAGATATTACTAAAGATTTTTAATTTTCAAATAAACATTTAAAATAAAATATTTTAATTTTATATGGAAGTGAAAAATGGATAGATTGTTCCTGAAAAAAGAAAAAGGTAGATTGAGAATTAAGTTTTATTATTAAGGTTATTTTAATAAACTTGGACAATGAAAGCAAAAGTTGCTCATGCACAAAAATTTTGCCGAAATTTTAGATTTTTGAGGGTCTCGAAATTTTTTTTCACTATAATATCGATATCGGTAAAATATCGAGAAAATATTAGAAATATCAGTAAATATTGGTTGAAATATCAATATCAGTTTGCATATAAAGTAATTGGGGATGAACATCGGGAAATTTAGGGTAATTTCGGTGGTATCGAAAATGGAAATTTTAAAAGGTTATATTTTGTTTCTTTTTTAATTTGCTTTATAATATATGTTTTCTTGCATTATTTCTTTTGTTATCGTGCTATGAGAGCGAGGAATATCAAGAATGTAAACATTTTATGAAGATAATCTTTTCATGAGTTTACAATCGATGAATTTGACTTCTAATTATTGCAACTCTTCTAAGAGACTCTAACGTTCATTATCCATACAATCATAATTTTAGAAACTATGATAGGTATGGAATTTTGAATTATCCTCATCCGAACAACACCACTATCTAAGGCAAATGATTGGTGGAATTCACAGTTTTCAATTCATAAAAATACAATGTGAAGGGATCAACAAACCTTCACGTGACACGTTCATAATTATGTTCGATATTATTCAAATAACATGTCATAATACCAATATTATTTGAATCAAGATCTGATCCCGACCACGTTTGAGCTTCATGAAACTTTCTTTTGGTATTAAGAAATGTTATGTGTATGAAGTTTTTTTTTTATATGTAAATCTTGTTTATTTATGTATCTTTTTAATGTTGATGCTATAAGAAAGTATTAAAGATATTTTCTAACGTAAATTTTCGTTATTTTCGTAAATTTTTCTAATATTTCCACCGATATCGATATTCTCTGATATTTTCGTAAAATTAGAGTACTGATATTACTACCGATACTAATATTTTCATCCTTGAAGATGCTGTGCAAATACAACCCTAATCTACTTCTCAAAATCTACTGTGGCGCAACAATTTTTGAAAATTGTTGGACAAAAGGAAGCTTTGCCAGACACCATGACTTGCTCCAGCTTCTTAAAAAAAGTTAAAAGTAAGTCTAAAAGCAATGTCAAATGGGCCCTTTATGAAACAATTTTTATTTTGAAATAATAAAGTATTTATCGTGTATTCTTTTAATAAATGCATGTTATTTGTTATGATTAATTGTTTAAAGATACATTACGATCTAGTGCTTGTAGACACACATTTGGTTATGTATTTGTTTAAAACAATATATGAGAAGATAGACTCCTAAGGATCAAAGCACGAAACAAGTCGTTTATCAACCGGTGAACAAAGCATATTAATTTTATTAATTTGATATGTGATGCGAAGAAAACATTGCATCTGCTGGCTCTTATAAAGAAAAAACAATATCTCAAAATAAAAGAGATATAATGCTTATGCCTTTTTTTTTTTTTTTTTTTCTTTTTCTATCACCAACAGACAAATTGCTCAAAAAAGAGCAGTGGCAAAAATGAGTTGGATTTGAGGATGTATCTGCTGGCTCTGTGGCCACACTCATGCCTTGCCAATGAACTCTACATCAAACAGAAGAACTGAATTTGGAGGAATTATGCATGAACCTGTGTCACATGAAAAGAAATCAATAAGAAATTAGCCCAAAAAACTTGCCCTTTCATTTGGTTTTCATAAACTAATTAGAGGATCCTCAAGACTCATTTAGGTCTGCCAAAGGAGCTCCAGGTTTTGCAGCTTGCGGAGGCATCTTTAGGACACATTGATAGTGATGCAACTATGAGCTTGTGGACCGGCCTAGGCCCATCCTAATACAGCATCGGGCCACATGCCTCGGTCATGGGCAAGCCCGACCCATCCCGTCAAAAATCACAGAGCACGTCAACCCGTTGATTGGCTGGTGAACAGAATGAGCTTACTTTTTTTTTTTCCCCCGTGTATCTAGCGAAGCTAACAGTTGTGTTGATAAGTTGGCTGGTTATGTAGTTTTCTATAGGTATAAATATTAGGGTTCTTCTCCCTGCTTTCTTTTTCAGGTCTTCTTACTATAGGTTTAGTCGCATTTTGCAATGGTTGTTTTTTCTTCTACTAATATTCTAATCCTGTAAGTGAAGGTCTTAACAATATTCTAGTCCTACTGGGAAAGGTAGTTCATTCAAAAGAACTAATTAGAATACACGAAGGATATATGACAGACACATTGGTTAACTAATAAGGCTGATAGACAAGACTGCTTACCTCCTCTACACCCAGCCCCTCTCACTCCATACCCGAGTTCTGGAGGAAGCTTTAAGACTCGCTTTCCCCCTACATTTGAGTTCAAAAATTTCAATTTAGATGTATGAAATGTAAAGGAGAAGGAAAAGGCAAAATGATCTGCGGAAGTTCACGTTTACCGGCAAGCATAGGAGGAATTCCATCGCCGCCTAGAATGCCTTCGTCCCAGCCTTTGATGACCTACAATGCGAGGTCATCAAATTACAAACTCTCCCAGATAGTTCTTCCTTGTTCACTAAATTGGAAATCTCTGAAGTAACAACAGTCGAGTTGCCTAAAACTCATTTATCTAAGAATGGGGCATTATCCTTTTAGAACTCGACTAGCAATTAGCATGTTGAAAAGGGCAACATGTTTTTCAAAAGCTGCTTAATAAATTTGTCATCATTTTCGCTTTGTTTTTGTGTTCAAAGGCAAAGCATGAACAAGAACTATGTCTTGGCACAAATCATAATGTCAGTAACGCTGAACCAACAAGTGATTTCTGGATTTTAGCAGCCAAGCTAAGAACACTCTCAAGCTTTACTAAGAAATGCTCAGAAGCAAGTTAATTACCACTCAAGAGACTCGCAAAGTAATCTCCGAATTAAGGTTTTCAAAGATGGTAAACCGTCTAACATACAGAGACGTTCCATATCATAAAGAGCCGCAATTCCTTTTCTAATTGTTTTTTCCTAAGCAAGCACCGTAGAAACAATCTAGAACATCCTCAGTTACTATAAAATTTTAGACAGTGCATACCTCACCAACACCAATTCGGAACGTAAGAGGCTTCCCGCGGTTATAGCTGCTGTCAAAGACCTTCCCATTTTCCAATTTCCCAACGTAGTGTGCCTGTAGGAATGTTTGTTCACGAAAAAGATTTAATTCTCACAGGACGACTTAATTTAGCTAAAGTATTTATAAAGCAAAAGTAGCATACATGAATCCTACCCCTTAATTTATATCAGTTCCTGGTATTTTTACACCCACTCAATCACAAATACAGACTTGTATACAAGAAACTCTGCAGTTTCATTCCACAAATCCATTTAATTGCTCTTTATTATCAAAATTCACCTTGAAGAGTAAACACATTAAGAACTCTTAAGCAAACAAATAAAAGGTTGCGAGCAAACTGACTTAATAATTACAGGACCCAGATCCATTAGCTCTCAACTTATTTCAGTTTTCTGCTATTTCTCACGCAACACGCAGCGATTTCTCTAACAACAAACTGTAAAAAAATAATAATAATAATAAAAGAAGTTGTTTGCAATTATAATAACTTAATTAGACTAAGAAGTAAGAATTACAGTACCCAGATACACATTCCAATTTCTAATATTTTCGACACAACAAAATGTCCTTTTAATTATGCATTTCTTTTGTAATTGTAAACCCCCGAGAAAAATGTTGCCCACAAATTAAAATGACTTAATACGGCTAAGAAATAGCAGTATCCGGATACAATATAAGCCCTTAAGCCTTAAAACATATTCCAGCTTCTGTAATAACAAGCTATAGAACATCTCTTATATTGTTATTTCACTACTAAGCATTGAAAAAATAAATAAATAATTTTTTCGACAATCGGCTTTAAATGTCAAATTGACAGAGAAATCTTCAGCTCACCTTAATGAGCTGACCTTTGACAGGCTCAGCGCCGTATCCCACAACTTTGTCACAGAAAGCAAGGCCAGATGGGGCCACACTGAACTCACAGGGCCCACCACCTCCTTCAATTGGTGCTGCTTCACAGTGAGAGGGATGAAGAAGTAATTCCAAAATGCCAAATGAGAGCCCAAAACCACCACCACCGCCAATAATGGCCAAGGCTTCTCTCCTCCCAAACAAACCTCCTGGCTTTACCTTTTCTTTTAGTTGCAGTTGTTTCTGTTTGTAGCTGCTCAAGGCTTTGACATCATGAGTTGATGTTACGATCATAAGACTACTTGTTGTTGTTGTGTTTTGACTAATTTGAGTGTAGAAGTTGTTGGTGACGCTTCTGCTGGGTTTGCAATTGCATGTAGTGCCAACTGAAGATGCCAAATATGAAATTGATGAACTCATCTCCACCAAGGACTACTCACTATCTGTGTGTGTCACTAGAAACAACTAGGTTTCTTTCTTTCTTTTATGTGGATCACTGATAACTGATTATAGTTGGGATACACCATATCCAAATTCAAAGTGGGATTTTCTTATATGGGCTCAGTCTTAAGATAACTAGGCCCAGATAAATGATTTTATTTGAAATGAACCCACCATGTCCATGGCCAATATCAGGCTACCAATATTCCATAATTTTTTCATTTTCGTCCATTAGTTTTTGTGTTTTTTTCTTCATGATTCTGCCCATAAATTTGAAACTAAGCGTAACAATTAACTAATCCAATTGCAAACGGGAGTTTAGTCTTAAGCAATTTCAAGACTAAATTAGGATGAAAGTTATTCTCTGATATGTCCTGAAAAAATAAACTACCGAAAATTTCTTGTTTTTAAGTATTAAATTTGTATCAAAAACAGTTTATTTTGTATATTTTTTCAATCTGATATAATTTTAACTAGGTCAAACGGTTAGAAACTAATCTTACCGATACGAAGGTTCTCCCAGAAAACTTTCAAAAAGTTAAAATTGCTAAGAAAAGGATAAATTTTTTGCAGATTTAAGTGTCGAACTATAAAATAATTTTAAGAAAACAAATATTACAAACCTATACTTATTATGGTTACAAGCATAATCTAACGATAATATTACGCTAACACCACCACACTAATTCCACCGCAAGTTCAAATAAATAAATAAACAAATCTAACCGTCTAATATAGTTACCAATTACGGTGAATTGCCACTATTTTGTAAATCCAAAGACTAAATTGTATGCTTTTTTAAAATAATAATAATAATAATGACAGTGTCTTTTATTTCATAACATCCATTAGAAAATTATTAATTGATATAAATAAATAAATAAATAAATCTGTTGATTCAGATTTCCAAGAATCAAGTCAAAGCAACAAGTCCACTTGTACTAACAAAAATTTAGAGCACCTAAACTAGTTCTCATGTTGGGTGATCTCTCAAAATTAGTTTCCTCACCCTTTCTGCACCATCCAAATTCCCACCCAAAGCATACAACTCACAAATAAGACTACAAATCCCGTCACCATGCTCTAGCTTCACATCATTCAAGACTTTCTCAGTCACTTTCTCAGCCATCTCGAACTTTCTATTCTCCTTACAAGCAGACAAGAAGGAAGTCCAAACGACATTATTAGGTTTGAGTTTCATTTCCTTTATGACATCATAAGCTTCCTCTACCATCCCCACTTTCCCATACAAATCAACCATGCATCCATAATGCTGAATCCTAAGCTCCAACCCACATTCTTCAATCATCTTGAAGAACCTATGACCTTCTTCGACAAGTCCTGCATCCACGCAGGCATGAAGAATCCTGGTAAATGTCACCTCATTCGGTCTAATACCTTCTTTTCGCATCGTCTCAAACCTAGACAATGCTTCCGTACCATACCCAAGTCGTGCCATGCCGCAAATAAGCGCGGTCCATGTCATGATGTTCCTCTCTGGCATTGAATCAAACACTCGAGTGGCGCTTTCAATTGACCTGCACTTAGCATACATGTCAACTAAAATCGTCCCGAGTTGGACACTCAATTGCCATCCATTCTTGGCAACAAACCCGTGAACCGATTTCCCTTTCAACAATCCGTCAGAACTCCTCCTGCGGCGACCTCGTCGGCGTTTAGGCCCTTGTTGATCACCATGTCTCGAAACAAAGATAAACCTCGCTTGTAATTATGACGGCTGACATAAGCCGCTATCATTGTGGACCATGAAGTGAGATCTCCCTCGGGCATCTCCCTGAAAACAAAATTCGCCTTCTCAACATCCCTCAACCTCGAATACCTTGCGATCATCGTGTTCCACGTGACCGTGTTTCTCTCGGGCATTTCATCGAACAGTTTGCAGGCATCGCCAAACGAAGCACCGACGTATGCATTGAGAAGAGAAGTGGCCACGTAAACGTTAGAATTGAATCCAAGTTTGATGATGTGGGCATGGAGGTGTTTGTTCAGTACAACATTGTGTAACTTAAAACAGGATTTCAATGTGTAGATGATTGAGAAAGTGTCAAAGGAATCGGATTTTTTGTGCATTAGTGAATAAATAGAGAGAGCTTTTTGAGGGGAAGAGGCATTTTTTATGGCCAAAGCGAAGGTTGTAAGGCTTTTGGACAAGTAAGAGAGGTTTGTAAATTTAGTTAAGAGTCATTTTGTGGCAAATTAGTGTTTGATGTTGAACTTGTCCCGTGTCTGATTGGCGAGTTAGGACACTGGCATAGTGGCATTTGACCAGCGTTTGCGTCACTGTTCACGAGAATGGAGACCTCTCGCTCAATGGATTCCATTGGATCGTTTTAAAGTTTTTTTTTTTTTTTTTGGACAAAATTTATAAATTCCTCCTAAACTTTATCAAACTTATTAACATGTCCCTTAAATTTTAAAATGTATCATGTTATATTCTTTAAACTCTGTCACTTGTATCAATATATTTCTGAGTTTAACTCCGTCAAGTTTTTTAATAGAAATACTTATAAACACTCCATAAATTTTGTCACGTGTGTCAATATGTCCTCTAAACTTTAAAATATACCTATTGTGCCCTCGAACTATGATATGCCTCTAATTTTTCTCAATTTATCTTGAATTGTTAATTATCTATGATATTTGAAGTTTATTGAATGTCTTCTTCTCTAAAAATATTAGTTAGGCATCAATTCTCAAAACATTAGTTTATTAGAGGCGATAAAGATGGAAAAAAAGAAAAGTAAATTTATGTAATGTAATGAATTTTGTTATTTTTTTTCTTAACATTTAACTTAGATAGAAGTGTTCGACATAAAACATGTACATTTTAAAATTCAGAAGACGTGTTAATACATGTGATAAAGTTCATGAAAAATTTATAAAATTTGTCGTAATTCTTTTTTTTTTTGAAATTTTTCTCATTTTATTTAAGTGTCACACTCAATAATATAAAGTCTACTATTCCTAAAAAAATAATATACAGTCTACTATCACATTACCTTAAAGTTGTTTTATTGTTACCATAGTGTTATATCAAAAAGTTGCAAGTCGTGAAAAAGGTCACGAGTCTTGATTTAATGCTACAAGTTTCTTATCATATGGCCGTTGGACTAAACACTTCAGCTATTATTATTAGGGAGTTTTTGCTGTAGGATCAAAAAAATAAAATTAACAGTAATTATATTTTTTTAATTATTTTTAGCTGTTAAATTTATATTAAATATTATCTATTTTGTATATTTTTTTAATCTTATTTAACTTTATCTAAATTTAAGAGTCAGAAAATTACTCTTACCAATTAGACGGCCTACCGCAAACAGTCTCTTATTATTATGATGATCATCCACCATCGAATTTTGATATTAGACAACCACTCCAATCAAAATTTAGTTTAACGGAAGCAACCTGTCATTAATATATTGGCTTAAGACCAATTGTAAGTTGTTTTTTTAATCTTATCTTATATGTTATATTTTTAAAGTGCAAAATATTTTTTGTATTTCTCAAATCACATAGAGAAGCCAACTCTACGAGTCTACAACATGTTTTGGTAAAAAGAGTTGTGAAAAAAGACAATATTAACCTTGATTAAAATGGTTCCCTTTCCCTAATATTAACCCGTGGAGATCCATTTAGAATTAGCTCAAAATCACAATAGAGTAAAAACCAAACACAACCCTTGAATTGGATGATTTAGAAAAAAAATACAAAATCGGAAAAAGAAAAACGGCAACAACTCATAAAAAAGTTGTTTTTCTTTTTCGAATGTCCTAATTAGTTGATTATTAGAAAACATTTCTCCTACATCTTCTTTTCGTATCAATTTGTTTTCCTTTTCAGAAAAAAGAATCTCATATCCAATTAATTAAGGGCTTTTTGGATGCTAATTATCATATATATATATATATATATATATATATTAACTGTTCCTCAGTCCCTCTTTTTATACAATATATGTTGTCTTTCAATTAACCATTTAACAAAGAAGGGTTAAGTAGAAAAGCTTCCATATAATGTTTTATTAAATATGAAATTTCCTCCTATGATTTTAGATCTACTTAAAAAAAACTTGCACGTGTTTTGGAAATCATATTAATCCTTAGTGAATCAACATGCTAAGGCTAGTCATTTCTTGAACAGATCAAATTAACCAATATTAATCCATTTAATTTCTTCACGGTGAAGACTAATTGCAATGTCTATTTTAGACGTATACTTGTTTATTTACTTCAACACTTCATTATCTCTTAATCACTTATACATAATGCTGCAGCAAAGCGTTGCTTTGCTAGCTGGAAATTTATTACTTATTTATTTTTTGTCCTTTGGTAGTTGTATCTGCCGGGCCTAGATATATGATCAATTAATATTTATAATTTACGTAAATCTCATTGGTTCAAAGCATACGTTTATGACATGGTTATCTAACAACATAAAAAAATTTATGACAACTTAATTGCAATTACTAATTCCTATATACATTAACATATATCCCTTAAAAAAAATAAAATTCCAATATACTAATGGGGAAAAGTACCTCTAACCGGTGAAGATGGGAAATATATAGTCCCAATATGAGTGAGTTTGACAAGAAATTTGCTCCAAAAGTCTTCATCACGTGTAAACAGAAGAGGTGACGATGGGTCACTGTGACGGATACCTCCACTACAACCAAAGAAATCAGCTGGACTACCATTAAAGAGAATGGAAAAACCCAGAAATAATAGTAAAAAAATATTATTTATATTACTCCACTCAAAAATAAAAAATTGACATTCAACTAATAATAAAAATATAAAAAGTCATGATAACACTCAATTATTTAGAATAACATAAATAATTGATATGTACAAAACTACATCAAACAATGTATTTTTTTTAAATGAGAACTAAAATATGAGTCGAAGTTAGAATTCTCTGATTAAAGTAATACAAAAATATTGTTTAAAAGATGTTATTTTTATATTTACGCCATTTAATGACATAAATTAACATCCGTGTCCCTCAATATATTAGAAAATATTTAAAATCCTACAAACAAAAAAAAATTTCTCCTCTATAGAGATGAGCAGACATCTCCTATTCTGGTATTTGAAGAGCATTTTAATATAATATTAAAATCAACAAAGATAATGAGAGACAGGATGATATAATTGTAAATCCATTTATAAATTTTGATATCATACTACGTAATTCTCTCATTGTCTAATCCATCAAACTAATTACTTATGGGGCCAATGCTTGACAAAATAATATTACTCCCAAATGAAATTAAAAACATATAATATATGTATAAACGTTGATTAAGATGACATGATTCTTAACCACTTCTCATGATGACTTTTGCTCGGCAGGCATCAGAGCTAAAAGAAAACGAAAAATAAAAAGATTTAATTTGATAATTATGGACATTTCACAATTTTGGTACGATGTCCGTACAACCCTATAAAAGAGGTAATATTTAGGCATGAATATTAGATCAGCAAAAGTTTGGCACTACAATGAGTTATATATGTGAGCGGGGGATATATAAACAATTACTAGCATTTTTTTTATAGCGGATTATAATATATTTAATTCAAATGTGCATGAGTAACCAATTAAAGATGTTTGGTTCATGAATTAGACCTATGAGATTAGAATAATTTTTAATTTATGTGTGTTTTTTATGAGAAAAAATACTGTAACAAATCACGAATCATAATTCGAATTAGACTACGAATCCTCTAACCAAACATGCTCATAATGACGCCATAGAAGTAAACTTATAATTAATGGCGTGTCAACAAAAGCCTTATAGAATAAATGGATCATCATACATCGTTATAAAAAATAAACATACATATGTACCCTGTCATATGAATAATAAAATTACCTTATTATAAAAGGTAAAAACGAAAAAGCAAATTGATAAAAAAAAAAAAGAAAAAAAAAAGAAGAGGGTTGGGAGGTGGGAAACCAAAAAAAGAAGAGAGAGAGAGAGAGAGAGAGAATAAAAAGAGACCTATGTACAGCAACAGACAAGTGGAGATAATCAAGTTTGTCTGGCTTTTGAATAAATAAAAGTAAACATATGAGATATAATCATGATACTGTCGGTAAGATTACTATATACGGAAAAACGTATAATGGGGTGGTGGTCCATTATTATCTTTCGTTATCACATCTTTTGAATTCATTTAGTTTAAATTTTAACCGTACGCACAAAAATATGAATGGTTGCCCATTCCCTCAGACATGGGAAAATGCTCACATTGACTCGCCAACTCCTAAGAATCATGCTACTTCTTAACAAGCTATATATATAATATATTATATATATGCATATATATATATATATATAGTCTTTAGAGGAAAAGAAAATTCTTTTTACCTGTTTTTGACCGTCGATGGTTAAAATCACATAAAAAAAAGGTATAATAAACAATTCTTTATACACATTTGACGTTTAAAAATAAATAATTACTAATAATTTAATATATAATATACACATATATGTATACGATAAGATGTTTGAAAATAAAAAATTTAAGTGGGAGCTTATGCCCCAACTAGGGCTCCGTCCGTGGTTGGTTTCCAAATCAAATAAAAACTACAGAAGAGTGACTCTTATGTACGCGACACGTGGCATTCATATGTCCAACAGGGGAAGACAATTTATATATGCATATAATTACGCTTCATAGAAAACAGAGAGAAATTATGTAAAAGGGGGGACAAATTTGACGTTTGAAAAAGGTTTGAGGATAGGCTTATTCGAGACTGCTTTCTTTAAATCTCCTTTATGATTTGCTTTTGAACGTGATTTTCTCGACAAAAAATTATCCCTCAAAAGTCTTCTAAAAGAAAAGGCAACAAAGAGAGCAATTACACGCGTGTTAATAAGATACTCTCTAAATTTATCCTTTAGATGGCATGAACTGAATTCGAGTCGATTTATCTAAAGGTCAGATTTCAATAATCGAGACACTTGCGACTGTTTACAAACATAGAGCTAAAAGTTGTAGAGAATATTGAATTGAGAAATCATGAAAGCATATGAGTATCATCATTATCTTTGTTGACACCAAGAAATGTGATAGACACACAGGATATGCCGCCTATTCTCTAGTTTAATGCATCTTTAGAACAATATAAAATAACATATTATATGGAGAAAGAGGAAATGCAAAATTTGGGGATACAAGAAATGATGTGCTTATCTTTAAATCATTAGGTCTTCCCCAAGTTGGCCATATTATCAATCATCCTCACTTTAACACTCATAATCTTCTTTTTCCTTATATGGTTTAATGAAATTATTTATACGTTAATTAATTTTACATATGATTGCACGGCCGTATAATTTTATAATACATATAGAGATCAGAGAACGCATGAGGCACTAGTACTCAAGTAAGATTATTATTATTATTATTATTTTGGTTAATTTCCTTATAGAGTAACAATTAATTAAACAAACTCTCTCGATATTTTTTTCCCCTAAGAAAAAGAGATAGGAGTAACGTAGATACTTTTCTTTTAAAACAATAAATTGTGGAAAAAAAATTTTTTTTTTTTTTTTTTTTTTTTTTTTTTTGGCTAATGGTGAAAGAGAATAGCTGATGTCTGAGTTAACATCGACGTTATAGTGGTAGAGGTTTATCATACGTATATATCGATCACAATATATCCCTTGTTAATGGAAAGTACTTTTCACACTTTAACTAATTATAGATAATAGCTTCTTAAGGGATTAACGTTTTGTGAGTGTACACAATAGAACCTTATTAACAAGTAAAGTTAAGTAGTTTTTTTCAACGTATTAGTTGGTTAGAGAAAAGTATTAAACGATCCAATTAAGAGCGAGTAGAAAACAAAATCTTGGAAGCTATGACTAGCTTAGTGGTGTGTGTGTGTATTTACTAATATGAGTAAACCCCACGTTAGATTTTCTGCTCTCTCTCTCTCTCTCTCTCCCACTTTCTTCTTTACATTATCTGCTTCATACACACGTATAGTTTAACCAAATTAAGAGAATTAGCCGCATATTATATTTCATTATAAGATAATGCCTGCTTTTTTCCAAGTTCTGAAGCAAATATAAAGATGTGCTAGCTATGGCAGCTGAAGAGCAAGTGGGCTTGTGTAGTAATATTAGGGATAATATGGGACATCATTGTTGCAGCAAACAGAAAATCAAGAGAGGGCTTTGGTCTCCTGAGGAAGATGACAAGTTAATCAAATACATAACCACTCATGGTCATGGTTCTTGGAGTACTATCCCTAAACTAGCAGGTAATAATCCTTATATATATATATATATATATATCTACACACACACACACACACACATATATATGTTAGTTCTTATTTTCTTTTTTTCCTATAATGAGAAGATTTGAACTAGCTATATAGAGACTTCAATATATGGTCTATACTGATTATGATTTATATGTGTAATCAGAAATTTTTAATCCTTAATTAGTTACCATTATTAATTCAGTTATCATCTATAATGTTGGACTAATTGATTGTGATGCTTATCTTTTAATTATCTCTGAAATAAATGGGTTTTCTCCCTGCTTTATTAATGATATACATATATATGTAGGGCTTCAGAGGTGTGGGAAGAGTTGCAGATTAAGATGGATAAACTATTTGAGGCCTGATCTGAAGAAGGGTCATTTCTCTGAACAAGAGGAAAGAACCATAATTGATGTTCATAGGATTTTAGGCAACAGATGGGCTCAAATAGCAAAACATTTGCCAGGTAGAACAGACAATGAGGTCAAGAACTTTTGGAATTCATGCATCAAGAAGAAGCTCATTGCCCAAGGCTTAGATCCCAACACTCACAATCTTCTCACCCCTAATTCTTCCAAACCTAACAACATTAATACTGTTAATAATAATAATTTTTTTAGTATTCATAACAACAAAGCAAGTACAGTTTATAACTTCTCTCTTGATCATCCCAAACGCAAAACTACTTGTTCTACTAGTGCTAATCATACTTCTGTTTTTACGGTCAATTCGAACGCGAATGTTTCTCGTGGCGGTCATGGTACTGCTTCCATGAATTATGCGATCATGAAAGAGGATTTTTTCAAATTAGCTGATAATAGTTATTCAGTTTCCATTCCTCAACTTAATCCTGGAAACCCTAGTGATGATCATTTGTTGCAAGAAAGCTCGTCAATGATATCAAGCTCCGAATACCAAAACCCTAACACGGTTTGGACCGATCTCCGAGAGCAAAATCCAACTTCTTTAATGGAGTCAACGAGCCAACCTTCAAAGGTAATGTTTAATATTCAAACTTCTCCACAAAATCCATCAGGGCATGAGAGATTAATAGAAGAGAATTGCTTGTGGGATATTGGTACCTCTGAACTTGGAAAAGGAAGTACAAAGCAACATGAGGAAAATATTAATACACTGCATGACGAGACATCAATACAGCTTCTGGAGAAGGCTTCGAATGAAGAAGTAAATAATAATATTCATGAAAAGATGAATATTAACGACTACATAAGAAATGGTGGGAAGAACGAGGATGTTGCTCCTTTTGATGACACTAGTTCTAACTTTGACTTTGATTTTGTGGATTCTGCAATTTTGTCTTGTGGAATGTATTGCCATCTCAGTCCAATCGCGGATCATTCTGACTGGAATCTTATTTGAAAGTTCATTTATTCTGCATGGAATTCTTAGATTACTCGGGCTTTTTTTTTTTTTTTTTTGTATCCCTTTTTTATGTACATTTTATAATTAGTTTCTTCCTGAACTAGGATTATTGTTTAAAACTGTAGTACTACCCACAAAATTGCATGTATATATAGAGATTTCAGAGCGATTGTACCATTCCTTTGATAAGTTTATATAGGATTATTGTTTACATATATAATTGATAAGTTTATAGGTGTATTAATTTTTTCCTTTAATAACCTCCTCAAACGTTAATTATATACTTATAACTATTAGAATAGGTGATCTTAAGCAAATTACAGTTTATGTTTTAAACATTTATTGATTAAATAAAGAAGTATTTTTATTTTATACATTACATTCCTATTTTTATGGAGAAAAGTTTATTAATAAAGCGAAAGTAGCATGACTGTTAATATTTACAGCTTAAATAATCATGCATATTGGGAACATATGCTTGAAGATATAATTCAAGGTAATTGTCTAAATAAGTTTTAGTCGCAATCAATAAACTAGAGTACTTAAAGCACTCAGTTTTTAATAAGATTGTAGTGGCTGCCCACTTCTGATGATCAGTAATGGTTTATCACTTTATCTAGACCATTAGAGATAGTTCTGCGGTTGAAGTATTGATTATACATACAAGAATGGATATCTATAAGATTGGACCTAATGTAAAATTGATTTATTTAGTATTTCATATAAATAACAAACCGCATTTACTTTGATAGCCATTTACACGACAAGCTTAATGCTGAATGAATCAGTGAAAAACTAAAAAGTAAAAAATATATATGTAGTAATTTTTAAAAAAAAGCCTTTTAAGAATAGAAAAAGTACTTATTAGTTGTTATAATAAATTACACATAATTGTAAGAAACTTCCATAAAAAATAAAAATAAATATTTTTTATAAATGTAATATCAAATTTCTGTGTTAATGTTGAAATTTAACATTTGGGTAAAAAAATAAAAACTCATTTTTCAATGCAATATTTTACTTAACCTCAAATTTGATATGTTCCACATCTAATAATATATACCAATGCCAACTTTTGTCATATGGATATTAAAACCACTCTTTTAAACATGCCATTTAGTGTAATTTTTACTTTTCCTTTTTCTAATGTACTCTTTGATGTAATTGGACTTGGGTTTCTCAAGCACAAATAATGCACAGACATGATCTACAGGTCTTCGACTACTAACTAAACGGTACAATTGAGTTGTGTTAATTTTTTTTTTTTTTTTTTTTTAAATTTTGAAACAGAACTTTCATTGATGAAACAAAACTAAGCAGGGACAAAGTCCAAGGAAATTGCATGAGACAGCCAAAGAGGCATCGCCTCAGTCCAAGACACAGAAGAGGCCAAAATTGGCAAGAGTGAGCCACCTCATTAGCACTACAAAGGGCAAAAATACAAGAACACATAGAAATCAGCTAGATGAGAGCAAAATGTCAGGGACAATGGTGCCGTGGAGACCATAGAGTAGTTGTGTTAAATGTTATTACTAGATAGACCAAAATCAACCAAGCTAAATCAGATCAAAAATTTCAGCTAAGTCGTTGTAGGCATAGGCTAATGGTAATTCCACACCTGATTCCACCATAAGGTTAATTGGATTAACGGTTTTAGATATTTCAAATAACGGAAAACGACCAATGACCAAAATTCTTTAATCTTCTTTAAAAGATTATTTGTAATGTTCGTCATATTAATTTCTACTTCATAAATGTTTTCCTTCTTATACATTATTTTGATTATAAGTTTATACCAACTAAATCAACCCAACCAAGCCGATTATACACGATTCTGTTAATTTGATTTTTGTTAAAAAATTCAAACACTCCAAACCTATCAAAAACAAATATATATATATATATATATATATATATATTTAGCCGGAAACAAACAATGAAGACCTATCAAATAGTCAAATTTTACTCGCATCATAATTCTTTTGACCTTCTTTTTTATTCATTCGATTCTAGGTTTAGCATGTGATGATTAAAAACAAACATGTGCTAGCTTTGGCCCCCCGTTCCAACAACATGGCAGATTGGAGGCGAAAAATGGGCAAAAGAGTTGTAGACCTCTCAATTAAATATCTTTAGAAGGAAGCAAAATTCAAAATGTGATATGTTACCCTCAAAGCAGATTGTCAAAAGGCAAAGCAATGTTCTAAATAATATTTACCAAAATGACTAAAAGAGGAAAATTGCAACCTCAAACGACAATGACACAGTACATGAGTTCTAAATAAATAAATAAATAAAACACACAAACCCACAAACCCACATATGACATATAATACGTATTAAGCATGAAAGACATTAAGAACAACCTCAAACGACAATGACACAGCACCTAAAGATCTGAACATTGAAGAAAAATTGCAACCAAAAAAATTATCAAAATTTCAGATAAGTACGTTGCAGTTTTTTTTGTTTCCTTTGTCTTTGTTTTGACAAAATAGAAAGAGAGAGAAGCTCACCTTCATCTTAAAAGAGCCGTAAATAAAAAGGAAAAATTGAAACAAGAGTTGGTATAAAAACTGCGTTAAACGTTGTTGCTGCCTGCTGCGTCTTCGCCTTGCTTTTAGTTTTTAGGTTTTTTTTTTTTTCATTTTGTTTCCGGGGCGGTAGGTTGGAGTTGGGCATTATTCGTAGGTCGAGAATGTAGGCCCGGCCCAAAAGGTTGTGGTAATTCGACTGCCGCCATTGAAGTTGGCACCGAGGAAGACAGGCAGCTTATGACTCACTCGACCGTTTTTTTTTTCTTCGTCTCGAGTCCTGCTTCTTCCTGCTCCACCGAGAAAAGAAAACTCTCTTTAACTAAAATATGCCTCGAGGTTTCTCTTTTGCTTTCAACAATGTTTTCTTTTTAGTTTTGTCTTTCTCTTTCTTTCTATTAATTTGGATTCTAATAATATTTTTGTGTGTAATTCTGATCAGATCTTCCTGGGTTTTATTATGATGCGGAGAAGAACAGGTACTTCCCCATCAAGGGACCAATTCCCGGCTCCGCTCGCTCCTCTTCTTCTTCCACTGCCCTTAAACCTTCCAAGGTTAGTTACTGTACTTGTCGTTTCTGGGTATTCTCTGTCTCACATCCTCGTCGTTTCAAACTTTTTTTTTTCTTTCGTTCTTTTAATGTTGATTAATGCCCTTTTTATCCTCTGGCTGTGAATTTACAAGGATGGTCTTTTTTTATTATTTTATTATTTTTAAGTTTCTGTTATAAGAATTAGTTCCTGACCCTGTATGGTGATGATGGGGGGTTCTATGGAAACTAGTAGAGCAGAACGGGATTAGTAGCAAACCTCGTTTGAGTTGTAATCATTGTAAGAGTTTGTTTATGTGCTTTTGTTATATATATTAATTCAAATGGTTTTGTTGCTGACCGCTTTTTATTTAGTTAAAAAAAAAAATTTGTCTGCAGATGATACAAAAATATAAATAAAGTTAAGCAACAAGGCCTCATTTGAGAGGTTTATTGTTACTTAGAAAGTGATGTTGTCGTTTTTCCTCCTTTTTTTGGTGTGTAATCTGAAGCCATGTTCCTAGAGGCAGTGACAAAGCTGCTGATGGACAATGAGAGCTTGTTTGGTTGGAGGATGTGGTTCCACAAATACTTTCCATTGATACTTCAAGGATCATACTTATAACACATAGGTCTTAACCATGATCTTTTCTTTCCTGCGTAATCTGTGGGTCCATGCCTCCTATTTGTTCCGGATGGGCGGCTGCCGGTCCCCTTTGCATAACTTTGATTCCTTAGGTTTTTTGGGTTCCTGGTTTTCATTCCTTAGCTATGAAGTTTTTATCTCTGTCTGATTTTGGCAGTGTCCTCCTTGTTTAATTGCAGGTGATAAAGCCATGTAGGAAAACTGGAGTAAGAACCTTGAAGCTGCTTCAGGTTAGGGAGATATTTGGTAATGTAATTTCTTCAAATAAAGGAAAGCGCAACTTTAAGGAGGAGTTCAGAAAGACACAAGTGTCCCATCCAAAGGTATGTTATTTAAGTGGGCTTGTGCCATGGAATATTGCTTTTGTTAAGCCCTTTTTTTTTTTGGTTAAGCTTTGTTCAACTTGGAATTAGACTTGTAGATTGAGAGCATAAAAAATTTACTAGAGAATATTATTAAACCATCCCTGTAATTTGATTTGCCTAATCAAATTTACTGACAAAACATACTTTTCTATCAAGTGTTTGAAGCTTTGATCTTGTGCAATGATAGATACCAGGATACAATGCAAAATAAATATTAACAAATAATAATAATAATAATAAAGGGAAGAATCTTTAAGGTGTGATTCTAAAATATAGATGATCGGGCATGTGGGGGAGAAAAACTAGAATGGATGATCTATGATTTTATAAATGCCCCCTGAATTTTGTATCTTGTTTCAACATGCCGCCTCATACTCATCCGTGAATGCAGGTTTGGAAATATTCTGGAACAGAGAAGATAGGTGACTCTGCTTTGGAGCGAATACACGTTGACGTTCAAACACAGGAGGGTCAAACCAAAACAGATGTTTTATTAACAGGTGGCATAAATGGATCCTTAAGGTACATATATTGCAGTTAATTGTGTCTGCGTCGTGTAATGGATATATCTTAAGCTATCCAATATTTGTTTAGTGTTACTGTGTGATAAACTGAAACTGCCAATTAAGGCTGAGTACTTGGATGAGAGGGTGATGTAATGTGGATATAAGATAGAAGAGATAGAATTGAGATAAAGGAATGGAAGCAATAGAAACTAGAGAGACAAAGGGAGTGCAAAGAGAGAATTCTAGTGAGAAAATGAGACTTGAGGAAGAAAATATGAATATTCAACATGAAGAATCAAAAGTCTGTTATTCAATTATCCACCTTTTTTATAGGCAAACTAAATCCACAAACTAGGAAAATAAATCAAAAGAAACATATCTGTGTATCCGTTCCCCTTCCCTGTGAAGTTTGCGGGGGGTTTTAGTAGTTATTTCTTGTGAAGTTTGTTGCCTTTGCAGTATTTCTGAAATTGGAAAAGTTCAACCAGAGTTTGATTACGGAGTACAATGCGTTCCAGATTGTGTATGGCCTACAATTGAAGGAAATCAAACACATTATAGAAGAGATCCTGAACGTATATGGAGAGACACAAGAGCTTCATTGCAAATGTCATCTAAGATATCTTGTATGAAAGTCTTTAGAAAGAACTTGCCTTTACCAATAGAAGATGGTGGTGGTATCCAACATGCATTGTATCCTCACTGTTTTAGATTTGACTTATTCTCTTCTGTGCTGCTACTGATACTTGCTTCTTGGTTCATATACTTCTCTATGACTGCAGTTCACTCTTTTGGATAATTCTTGTTCTAGGATCCTTTATCTTTGCCTTGAATCATTGGGTTTAGACATTACTTCGGTGATCTTTAATCGTTTCAAAATGGCAGCAACATACCATTTTTTGTGATTTCTTTCTATCAAAGAATCATACGAATGGTTGATTCCTGTATAATACACTTTTGATTTGAGCGAAAGGGTTTTACCAATTCCAACGTGTTCTTTCCATGACTCCTCTTAACTGAGACAGGAGATCCAATGCTTGAAGTAGGAATCAATTTGATTCCACCATACATATTAGATATTAGGTTGGGTGGGTCAGGTCATATTTAAAGAGTATTCCTTTTTCCTTTCTTTTCAACTCATTTTTAGAACTATCGGCCGACCTGGCATGCTCAGATGGAAAAAAGTTATAGCTTTTGCAAAGCCTTAACATAGTTAAACAGGATATCTACATTGGGATCGATGAGATACGGTGGATCTCTGTGTCTTCTCAATCTTGTTGAACCCTTGGATTTCGATCCAACTGCTCTTTTCATAAGGCGAAGGATACAAGAAGTTGCAACTTTTGACTGCACCATTTGGGCTGCAGATTGTGGAACTAATGGCAATCGAGCAGTGATTGGTAAAGTCCTCTGAGCTCCAGGCTCCAGCCATCTTTTGCACCCATTTTGCTCTTGAATTTAGTTTTAATGTTTTTCTGATCTGTGAGATCCTCATTTAAGATTATAAATCCTGATATTCTTCATGGCATATTCATTGTGCTAACGTTACTTCTAGGCTTTTCTTTGTGTATTTATTTATTGATTTATTTTTTATTCCCCCAGCATAAAAATATTGATCAGGTCAACCTTTTACAATTTGACTCAGGCCTTTGTTTTTTATCAACTATTTCTTTAATTGTTCTAGTTATGACTTCTGTAAGAGGGATAAAGTGTATGCATGGAAGAATCCTGCTTCGCATATATCACATGTTTCTCTTCAGCCTAGTGCGGCTTTTGCCTTGAATGTAATATTTTTTATTAGCTCAAACTTAGATCGTTATTGATTGCAATTTTTTTTATAATTATTTTGCTATTTGTGTTTGCATATTATCTGTTCATATGCCAAACATTTATCTCTTGCAATTGTGGATCTGTTGTAGGAACCAATCTGGGTGCCGCTTTAGTAGATGTGGAAACTGGAATGACATCATGGGTGCTGCGCAGTAAAAGTGATGTTTTGGCACAACAACTTGTTCACTCAGTAAGTTGTGTTTTCAGGCTTCCTCAGCTGCTTCTAAGCTGCCAAATTATCTTATGTGGACCCCTTCACTTTCCAAAGTGTAATGTCGTTTTGTGGGCGACAACTTTTCAAGATATAGTGCTATCGATTATACACAAACCACAACTAGTTTTCTGTTGGAAATGAAAAGTTAAGGCTGCTAAAGAACCAGGAATTGAGATACTTATGCTGGGAAGCAAGGTCGATCATCTTAATCCAGGAACCAGAAAACATCCTCAATCCAGCCAGCTTTACAAAGCCCATGTATAAGAAAAGTCTAAGTAACCTCGTTCCTTCAACAAACCGTGTTGGGCATTATGTGTGAGGTGTTTGACATAAGGTTGTTGGAGGAGTGATGCTACTTATACTTTTCTTATAAATGGGCTTTGTGAGGCTGACTAGATTGAGGATATATTCAAATTCTCTGAGATGATGCAAGTTTTACGTTTAAACGTAGATCAGTTTAGCCCATCGACGAGCAATAAATCATGGGACCTTGTTTTGAGATCGGCAACTTCTCTCATAACATAAAAAAAAAAAAAAAAAATGCTTGATGGGCTTAATATGTGTAGACTGTTCAACTACATGCGCTATGTCACGTAGAACCGGGGTTGCAAATATTCTTGTGTGAGATGGAAATGCTGAAACTTTTTTTTTTCATTTTTATTATTTCAAAGCTAATCCTCTTCTTGTTGTAGGGAAATGTTGTCTTATGTGGGCTTAGAAATGGGGCAATCATTACCGTGGATGCTCGTGAGAAACAAGAAGGATCTTCTGCTAGGCTTGTCAGGCATCGTATATCAAATTCGCCTTCAGATAATACTGTTGGAAAATCAAGCAAACGATGGTTTAAGGTACCAAGTTCTTCATGGATACAAAGCATATAAGGTTTTATTGGAGGAAAAAATAATTTCTAGGACGTAGAGAATTTCTCATTTCACATGTAGTTTTTGCATAGCGTTTATCAATCAGTATAAGGCTTACAAAGGTGATGCTGGGATTGTACTCTGTTTAGTGTGGTTGTTTTCTTGGTTTTTTGTTGTAAAACTATGGGTAATGATCTGATTTTCTTTTGGCACAGCTTTCTGGAAATATAAATACTTCTGACACGATTAAATTGCCTTCATCTATCTCCTGGTTAGTAGTTAGCATTACAGTTTATATTAATGATCCCGCTCTCTTCGTCTTCAACTTTTGCTATTAGATTTTATGCTTTCACGTTTTCAAGTTTCTATAGCCTTTTCTTTGGGTTTTTAATCTCCAGTTTGGTATCACTTCAGTTTGATGACCAGTACTTCCTGGCAAGTTCCATGGATGGATCGGTTAGTATTTATCTTCATTCCAATTGAGATCACTAATTTTGTTGACTAAACATACTCATTATCTTATGTGAAGGCTTTTCTTGCCACTATTTTAAATTAAACATCAAACATTGCAAACATGAGAATTGTGAGTTTTTCTACTCTGATTTGAGTATCGTTTGAAGCCATTTTTTCCTTGTTCATTTCAGACTTTCAGGGAAAAGGGTTGAAAAGCATAAGCTGTTTTTTCTGTTCATATCTAATCTCTTTACTTTCGTTTTTGTTCTCAATATTAACTTTTCCTAGTTTGCTACTCCTGGTCTCCATCTCCAATAGAATTTCTGTGATGCTTATTTGGTCATACATGCACGAATGGTTTCTTTTTCCGTGCACCTTCACAGTGGTACAAATTTACTATATTTAGTTTGTAATAAATTCAAAGCATTCTTTCCCAATTTTCAATACCCCTCTTTCAATAATATACTCGCAATGTACATGTAAACAAGAATAGATTAATGAAGTTAATTGAGATAGTGGAAATCTATACCAATCTATGGAGAGCAGACTATGGAAATATATATATATATATATATATATATATATTTATGGTGAAAAGGATATTTACTGGTTGACCGTCGAATGTTGACTTGACATGAGCCGAAGTGTGAACTTCTCTTTTGGTCTGTGAATTGATTTAAGTGGGATTACATGCTCGTATTTTCCAGTATGATTTAGAAATCTTGCTATGATGCTCCATGAACATGGTAAAGTTGGTTTCCTATGTCTACAATTGTCTCTTTATAAGATTGACATGTTTTTCCCAGTGATAGACGCCTGTATTGTATTTAAGTATTCAATCGGAAGCTCGCTAATGCCATAACGTGTCTCCTTTTTTAAGAAACAATGAATTGCTATCGTCGTTTCTAGTGGCACTGTATTGGATGAGCTTGTTGCCTCTGCTTTTGCTTCCGTAATTCCATTGCAACAATGAGTTTGGTTGGTTCTGCGGTCATATATGTGGGAAAATACAGCTGTTAATTGTTATTAGTTTTTTGTAATTAGTTTCCTGATTACTATGACTAAATTAGTGTGTAGAATGTTTTTCTTGATATCCCTGGAATCATGGGATTAATAGGCATCGATTATTTCCTTTTTATTCTAGGCGTGTATTCTTATATAGTCTTCTAATACTCTGTAAATTAATTCATTCAATCAACGACAATTCATATTCATTCTCTCATATTTCACGATAATATAGATGCGTTTTTTTGTATATTTTAGGTAAAGCTTTATGACCATCGCCTAGTCCAAAGAGGGGCTATCCAATCTTATGAGGGACATGTTAATTCTCATTCCCGCATACAGCTTGGAGTCGACCCATTGGAGAGATTTGTCATGTCAGGTATTTTTATATCAACGCTTGTCATTTTCACTCGAGGTATTTGCTATATCAATACCTTCTAATGTTTTATCAGGAGGAGAGGACTGTTACTTGCGGCTTTGGAGTATCAAGTCAGGTGAGCTGCTCTTTCAAGATAAATTCTCCGACTCCATCCTTTCAACCGTGTGCTGGCGCAGGGAAGGGCCATCAGTAGCTTTGTTGAGCGGGAAGAATGAAACGAATAGCGTTAGTGGCTACTTTGATGAGGAGAGTTATGGTGCGGGGGCATGGCTTGGCTCACACGAAGGACTGTTTTACTTGCAGTGGTAATAACAAAAATGCCCAACAAAAAAAAGCTACCGAGTTCATTACGAGGCGACTTGTTTTGGAGAAGGGCTGTTTTCAAGAAGGGCTGATTTACGGTGTGTAGAGCTAAGAAGTTATGCTCTACTGACGTTTTATGTTTATGGCAGCGCCCAGCAGACTTGGGGTTTGTTATTGGGGCGGGCATTATCACCGCGCAAAGCGGATGATAGGAGATTAGCGAAGGATATGCACAGATAACAAGCTTTACCAGTGTAAAGAGTACATAGTGGCTTTTATTTTATTTTATTATTATTATTTTTTTTTTTGTGGTTCCTTTTCTTCTCCTGTTTATGGTAGGAACGGCCAAAAAAGGCCTACATGCTCATGTTTGGTAAGGGACGGTCGTTTTGAGGGAAATAGAAATAATTGAATGTTGTTTTCCGTTTTCATTTTCTAGACCATTTGACTTAATATATGTTTCTAGAGATATCTGAACACAATTTCGCCTTTTTTTTTAATACCTAAAACAATCTTTTTGTTGTTTAGTTGTAATAACGGAGGTTGTGTCCTCTATGTGGCTGTCTCCCACCCGCTTGACGGTGTAGCTTATGAGTTCAGGCTAGAGTGTACTCTCTATCCTGATGTGTTTTGCTTTGTAATAATGGAGGTAATTTCTCCACCTTCCGGCTTGGTTTGTCTCTTATCCGTTTGAGGTGTTTCGCGATGGCATAGGTGTTGATGTCTGGTTAGAGGTTTCTCTACGCGGTGTTGCATGTCTTTATGAATTTGGGTTCTGTCTCGACCGACTGAGGTAATCCATCGACTATTTGGTCTTTTTTAATGAGAAAATTACAGATTCTACTTCTTTAAGTACTTAACTTATTAAAAGTACTCATTTTGAAAAACTATGCCTCGTGACTAGTTCAAGTCTAAAAGGTAGAAATATATGGGCTAATGTTAAGGGATATAAATAAAAGAGGTTCCATTTCAAGGGTTATTTTCAAAAAATTCTCTTTTTTAACGAGCTTTAGTCATGTTTTATTTTTATGTGTCGATTGGGCTTTTCCTCTTTGTGTATCGACATTCGTATTCGTCTTTGCGTTATTATTGTTTTTCTTGGTGAATTCAATCGTTCGGATCGAATTCCATTGCACTTTATGTTGAGTTTATAATTCATTTCTTTCGGTATTGAAATTTTCCCTATATAAAAAAAAGACAAAAAAAAAAGAATCTTTTAAGAAAATCTAGAATTATTTCCAAAAAATTTTCATTTCCATTTTTATACTCTAAATAAAATCATTTTAAAAACATTACAAAAAGAGTCTAGTTTCCAAATTCATAATAATATCGGCATGTGTATCTTTAGCAATATCAGGATGATGATACCATTTGGTACATCAAAAGGCGTAAGTCAAGAATACATATTCATTGGTCCATTTTAAGATTAAGCTCAAATACAAATTTTCTAAAGTGAGTCGTTTTTCTTATACTTAATCATTGAAAAATCAATTTACAATTGTGGTTTGATCCAATATATTTTCCACCTATGGAAATATATTAATGTCTCTATTCATGTCCGAACAAGACAAAGCGTCTCCCATTAAAAAAATAAACAATATAATAATCTTATCATGAATAAAGTGACCAAAACATGTCAAATTGAGTTGGTAATATTTTGATAAAGGTCATTTTGAGGGAAATTTTGTATTTTCAAGGATTTTTTTCCAATCAAAGTTAAATTCCATTCTTTTCTTTTACATTCTAATTATTATTATTATTATTATTATTCGTCATCGTCGTTGTTGTCGTCGTCACTTTGCTCTGACATCCTTTTGCATCCCTTATCACTATGAAGAGTGGACTCAATTGAATACCTTCAGTGTTGGTGTGTTAGTTGGGCAGTACATGTAGGCATCAGAACAGCGAAACATTTGTTAGAACAGAGACAATGGAGTTCAAGAGGATATACTGTTTCACCTACAAAATAAAAGTTCCCAAATTCATAAGTGAAAATTTTGGTGTTTTGGTTCTGAAAAATTACATGGATAATCCTTTTGGCCAAGGTGAATGCAGGAGGGTAATATGTAGAGGAGGCTTTACCACTTGGTGGTCATACCAGTTTTGAATGAGAAGATTTTTGAATTGAGGCACTGATGACCATGCTTTGGTTCTGAATTCCTTGCAAGCTACAAGTAATCATTTTGGTGTATGGGCAATTTATATACAAAATTATGGAGTGTATGTTTTTGGATTTGACATATAGTGCAAACCTATTTTTTCTGTCGGTTAATAGCTAGCATAGAATTTGGATTTTTTTTTTTGCTGAAAAATTTTGAATATAAAAAGATCCAAGGTTTAAGGTAAGGTCATTTACTCAATGTCATTTCATGATTTAAAGCAAGAAGCAAATACAACTTATCTTCCTTGCATAAACCTTGCCCTTGTAATTAGTTGTAAATTGTAATTAGTATTTATATTTTTCTAAGTTTTCTTTTTGTAAATAGTACAACTTCAATTGATTACTAAGGAATTAACCGAGACATGTAACATGTTCACTATAGGTAACAAAGTAGTTGATACTTGATGAGGAACAAGAAAGTATAAACTTTGAAAGTACTTTTTAAGTTTCATTTTCTTATTTTTGTTTAGTCAAAGTTTAATAAAGTTTGCCAAAAACTATATGAACGAGTTTCCCTTTACTCATAGTTGTGTAGTTTATTTGTTAGTTTACACTCACATAGCCATAGGCGTAACCCGTGACAATCTCAGTTCCCTCAATAACATACATCAAATCATTAGTATTCAGTTTATCAAGAACTAGAAGTTAGCAAAATACTTGGAACTTCAGAAGGAACGTGGGTTTTCCAAACGGTCATATAGAATAAAACTACAAAAAATTGAAAGAGAAAGAGAAGAATGATTTCGGAGGAAAAGACCAGAGTTAACTAAATCCCATTCTCTCTTGTCCTGAATCTCTCTGCGAATGCGGACCGTCCCCAATGAGTACACCAAATTTGAAACCTCCCCTAACTCTCTATCAATCAAATTTCTTGGGAACATGAAATCCCAAGAACACACACGCTCGTACTCCAATTGTGTGAATGACACAAAAATGATATTGGCGATTGGTGTTGATTATGGAGAGAATTAAGACAATTTATAAAGAGCTGGAGATCTAATTGTGTCCTCTTTCCCTACCTTCCACTTCACGTACGTTCTGAAAGAAAATATCCAATGCTAAATGAATCACTTTCTTTGGGCATCTAAAAAAGGTTCTACTTGTTGGCTTTTAAATCATAGTTATTTGAATTTTATTTCTTTCCTGGCATGTTCAACAACTGTATATGTCGCAAGTGACTACAATATCTTGTGTCTAAAATGCTCTTTTGGCGATTCTGTGACTTATACCTTGTGCCTTATTTTTTTTTATTTTTTATTTTTTCAATCTGAGGCCGATCTTCTTTTCTTATTACAACAAAGCATTAGGTTTAAATCCCTCTTTACCCACCCCTTGGCAGTTAAAAGAACTATTATGGTGGCTCCTTTAGTTTAGTAAAGAATTCCCACATTGCTTAAGAAGAAAGAGCACGGGTCCTTGAAGCGTTATAAAAACCTATTGTAAATGACATAAGATATCCTATTCTAAATTAAAAAGGACCTTAATAAATCTTACTCTCCTGTATATTGAAGGAGACCTGATAGGTATTAGCTAAAAATCTGTTTAGTTCAAAATTCAAATATAACTCTAGATTAGCTAAAAATCTGTTTTGTTCAAAATTCAAATATAATCTTAGCTTAGGGGATTTTCTTGTTTTAGACCGTTGATTCTCGTCTCCTGTTTGGATTATCAATAAAATCTCATTTTATTCTGTCTAGATTAAGCCGATAAAATCTCATTCTATTCTATATGGATTAAGCTGATAAAATCTCATTCTATCCATTGCATCACCCAGTTTGCACTTTTTCAACCTTCACTTTCGCTTCAAAGGCGTTTTTTAAGGGGGTTTTTTTTTTTATTTTGCTTTTTAAGTTTGTAAATTTTTCGGTTTCACAAATATATGATTTAATTTTGTTTGTTTTCTGGGAAAGAAGAAACGAAAATATTTCTCACTGAGTTGAATTTTCACTTTCCCGAGAATGTTAACTACTCCACCTGGGGCTTTAGCTGCCTTATTTATATTGATTTTGGTCTCTTTTTTTTTTTTTGGATTTTCTTTCTCTCACATAAACAACTAAGATGATAAGTAAAGTGATAAGTGAAAAAATGAGAAGTTATTTTGATAGCGTAATGTGCCCGTTTGTTTTCATTTTTAAAAACGTTTTTTACGTTTTTCGAGGATAAAAAATGAAAACGGACAGACAACACGCATTTGGTGCAACAATTTTCTAAAAATTGAAAACAAAAATGTTTTTGTCATTTTCTGAAAATCTAAAAACGATTTAAGACCGTTTTCATTTTCTCCATTTTCCTTTTCTCTCTTCAATCTGAATTTTTTTTCTGCCCTTGACCAGTGTGAACTCTTCGAGGATAAAAAATGAAAACGGACTGATCTCTCTCTCTTTCTCTTCTTCCCATCTATCCCCCACGGTCCTCTCTCTCTCTTCCCTAATCTTTAGACATCTCTCTCTTTCGCTCTGGCTCTCTTCTCCGATCTCTCTCTCTCTCTCCTCTCCCCACGTTTCTCTCTCTTCCCTGAACTCAGTACGCCGTTCTCGGACTCGTGACTCCAATCTCGCGAGGGAAGACGAAGACACTGATTGGGAGTACTCATATCTGGTTCTCGTCAGAGTTTTCGATCTCGCCGATCTCCGATCTCGCGAGTGAAGACAAAGAAGTTGATCTCGTCGCTGTTGTTTTTGCTCCTCCTCCCTCCTCTAAATTGCGCCGGAGAACCGGCGAACTCAACTCAGTTATCATCCATGCTGTGAAGGCTCTCGTCGTGCTCTCTCTCTCCTCCCTCCGCTCTGTTCTCTCTCGAATATCTGCATCAAATCCGATGTGGATGACGACAGCTAGTGGTTCGTGCTCCACTGAAGATTGTCGCGAGTCGGAGATGTGCAAGCTTTCACAAAATCACGGCCGCGGAGGTGGTAGCGCGATTCCCTGGGCTCGCCGGAGCTTGGCTGTGAAGTTGGCAGCGGGATTTGCCTGGGCTCGCCAGAGCTGGGATGTGGAGGTGGCGGCAGCGGATCTGATTTGCAGAGATGGAGGGAGCAAGTTTTTGACGGTTTTTTTTATTATCAGATCTTATTTGTAGGTTTTTTGTTCGTTTGGTCCTGAGTTTGTGATATTATCTTGATCTAAGTTTGTGATTTTTGTTGATCTAATAATATTAAATATTAGTGTTATTTAATATATTATTATTTTAAATAGTATTACATGTTTTTAAAAATTAAACCACCAAACACAATTTCAATTTTTTTAAACTGAAAACAATCTCAAAATAAAACTACCAAACGTATTTTTAGAAATGATTTCAAAATAAAAATGAAAACGTTTTCATTTTTATTTTTATAAAAAAAATAAAATAATTTTGGAACAAATTCACACCCAATATTTCGCATTCTACATGTCTTTATCAATTATTGGTGGTCAATGCCGTCATATTTCTCATTTGGGGAATAGAGTAGCCCACTTGCTAGCAAATTCTGTGTTCTGTAGAATTGTGATGGACTGGGGTGCTACCGCTATCCCGTTGTTTGTACCCTCAGCTATTTTGGTTAATTTAACTGATTAATAATATGTCAATGGTTCTCCAAAAAAAAAGCTGAGTTTTCCCGTAATTATTATTATTATTATTTTTTAAAGATTTAACTGTTATGCAGATTATGAGGAGCACAGATGATAGTCAAACCATTTCTATATTATGTGTCCAATGGGGTTAAAATCTTATATGAATGCTCTTCATTCTTTTTTTATTTTATTTATTTTTTTCCTCTAGTGGTAGAAATTGCAAACATCAAATTATGTTTCTTAGTACAAGAAGTATAGGTTACAATACAAACTTACACTTTTTTATGCATAAGTTATCATGTTTAGGGTTCTATTTTAGTTAATAGACACGTTTTTATAAATTTTGGACAGTTTTGTACAAACTTAATCACAACAACAACAAGAAGCCTTATTCTCATCTTAATCATAGTAGTAAAATGAAGAATAAACTCTTAAATAATTTATTGGTCGAGTAAATATTCAGTCACTGCTCGCGTACTAAATATTGAATCACTTTAATGAATCACTTTCAAGTTATCAGATCATCCCGTTCAAATGTGTGTGTGTGTGTGTATTTATATATCAGATCATTACCATTTCGCCCATGCTCTTTAGAACGGTATTCCGTCCATGCCCTATGGAACGGTTTGTCCGTCAACACATTTGAAACCATATAATTTGTCTCTCTTTATTTCAAACGTACAAGAGTATATCTTTACATGAAGGAAATAAGGGGTAAGCGATAAGAACAAATAAAATAGAAAATAGAAAAAACAACAGTTAGTGGAAATCAACCCCACACAATTTAGACAAGAATGTAGTTACCTTAATAATAATAATAATAATAATAATAATAATAATAATAATAAAAAGAAGCTAGTAATATTGAATTGTCCACCTTGAATGTAACTGATATATCTGGCTCCCCAACATTAGTGGGGTTTTTATTCTAATATAAATAAAATTCCAGTTAACTATTATGTACAAGATCTTACAGGTGATTCATTGCTTTCTTTTTTCTTTTTTTTTCCTTTCTTTTTGTCTTTTTTTTTTCAGCACATGACTCTGTTGCCTCCTCTATTTCAACAGCTATCTGGAAAAAAATAAAATATAAAAAAAACTTATCGTAGAGCGTCTCCAAGCAAATGCAAACGAACCTCGTTACGCCTCAGCTAGTTTTAATCGAGGAACAATGTTCATCGACTGGAGTTCCTGTAAGAATGAATTTAAGCAGTAGAAATGGAACAATTAGAACCAGCAAAACTGAAGAAAATCCAGGCAGTGGCGAATTATGCAAAACATTTTAAAAGACAACCCAAATTGCACAAACAAGACGTTAACTCAAGGAATATTCAAACACATGACAAGGACATACATACGAAAGAATTTTTTTTTTTTTTTTTTCCAGAATAAGAGTGGCATTTTTTTCCCCTCAAATGTAGACTGATCTAGCTTATTTAGGACGAAATTTAAACAGTCGAACAACCGAAAAAGAAAACAAAATCCGGAAGTAGTATCTCATGGCTGTAGCGTAATGCAATTAATTTACATCCAGAAGTTCCCTTAACCAACAAAATTTACTTGTCATCTTATATTCATACTCTGACTATGGTACGTGATAATAAAATTTAACATAACCATTTGTGGGCCCAACAAACCCTTTAAACTGCTTGGGAAATAATGTACAGTGTAAGGAGACAAATATACTAACCCTAATAACTAATAAGCAAAATCAACAAATTAAATTATACCTGAATCAGGAGCTTGCATGCATATGGTAGCTTCATGGTAGATATATTTTCGCCGTTCTTGCATGATGAACAAATTCCGGTTTTAAGCTTATGATTGTAGTACCCCAACAAACCACAAACTCTGCAAACCTGTGTACGTGTGCAAAAATATCAGCTGAAATGGAGCACTTGAAGTAAGCATTTATCCAAATCATTTCGGCTATGACAAATATGATAAGGTAAGCATCATATGCACTAGAATTAAATTATGAGAACGAGTGTTTTTCACAGGAGAGAATTAGCCCCCGTTTGGTTTGCTGGATTGAATTTTATTGATTCAAACTTTTTGATTTGAACAGAAAAATTCATACTGTGGTTTAAACTGTAGTTTGAATTGACATTTGGATGTGCAGTTAAAATTCTAAAATTAACAGGGAATAAAATTGGAATTTGTGTTTGGTAGGTGTAAAAAGCAGAGAGAGTGGGCACTTTTTTACTGTTCAAAAATGATTTGAACGGTTGAACTAGAGGAGGGAGCTAAACTCTAAGTTGGACTGTTTAACTCAATTTGAACAGGAAATATAATTCAAACTACATGTTTACTAAACATCAGTTGAAACTATGCTCACTGTTCAAACTAAGTTAAACTGAACTAAACCAGTGAAACAAACGGGAGCTTAGATATTGGGTTTCCAGAGCTTTTGTTATACATATATTATATATATATTGGGTGTGGTTTTAATGGTTACTCCATTATTTATTTTTGGATGGGTATAGTCATTTTAATCGTAAGATATTGATCCGACGGTTGTAATAAATTGGATAGTTGATTAAAAAAAATTATAAAAATTAATGAAATTTGATTCTTATCATGCCACGTGATCAAATTTCTATATTTGATGGTAACTATATATATTGAGGGTTTTATGATAAGAAGTTCATGCCCACTAGATAGCAACTTATAAAATGAAAAAAAGAAAAAAAAAAAAAAAAAAAGGGAAAAAAAACGTTACTTAACAGTTCACTACACTACACTAACACACTTATTATTCTTCAAACAGTACAAACGCCCAACTGCACAATTTAAAGTATAGTGCTGAAATACTGCACAGATTTGGTCGCCAGAAATGTGCCGAGTGTTAAGTAAACGCGAGCAATGCAGATAACTCGACCCCCCAAGAAACTGCCTATCTTGCAAGATGCTATCAACACTATCGAATAGATTGAAGGACGCTCTTGAGGAAAACATCTCGGAGGTTCAAGAAGCCTTCATTGCTGGGAGGCAAATCCTAGACTTAGCTTTGGTGGCGAATAAGGTGGTCGAGCATTATAGAGTTTCAGGAAGGGAGGGTACTATTATAAAAATTGATGTTTTGAAAAGTCATGATCGTGCGGAGTGGAAGTTCCTGGATTTCATTCTAGAAAGAAGAGGATTTGGGGAGAGATGGAAAAGGTGGATTTCTGGATGTCTCACATTGGTGTCTTACTCGGTGATGGTTAATGGAAGGCCACAGGGCAATTTACAGCTTCTCGGGGATTCAGGCACGGGGACCGATTATCCCAGTATTTGTTTACGCTTGTTGTAGACGCCTTACGTAGACTTGTTGAGAGAGTGGTCAAATTTTCTTTGACAAAACCACATGAAGTGGAGAGATCAAGCGTCCAAATCAGCCACTTGCAGTTCGCTGGCGATACCCTCCTTTTCAGTTTACCAGATGAGGAAATCTTGGCAAACTTATCCCTTATTCTGGATATTTTCTGCATAATGTCTGGTTCGAAGGTTAATTTGGATAAAAGTTCAATTTTAGAATCAATTTGGAAGAAGAAAGGTTGTCTAATTTGGTGGGAATTGTTGGCTGCACAGTAGCTTCCTGGCCAGTAAAATATTTGGGATTACCTCTCAGTTGAAACCCATTGCAACATAATTTCTGGGAGCCGGTTTTGTCCAGAGTTTCGGAAAGATTGGATGGGTGGAAAAAAGCTTACTTGTCAAAATGGGCCGGCTCACATTAATGCAATCTGTTCTGTCTTTGCTGCCATTTATTAGTTGTCTTTATTTCGGATTCCCATTGGTATCGCAGAGGAGATGAAAAACTTATGAGAGATTTTTTGTGGAAGGGATACTCTGAGAATAATGCAATTCATCTAGTGGCTTGGGAGCAGGTGTGCAGACCAAAGAAATGTGGGGGGGTTGGGGATTGGTAACATTAGGGAAAAAAATGAAGCTTTGTTGGCAAAGTGGTTATAGAGATTCCCCTTAGAAAGAGACTCTTTATGGCATAGTCATTGAAGGGAATTATGGATTGAATCAAAACAATTGGGACTCCAGGGCAGCCTCCAGATCCACATTCAGATGCCCGAGGAAATCTGTTTAGTCTGCTGCAGAAGGCCGCTTCCAGCAAGTCAAATGGTTCAGGGGAGTTGATCAAGTTTTGGGAGGATGTTTGGTGTGGTGAAATGCCTTTGTTCTTGAGATTCCTGGCTCCGTATTGGTTTCCTCGCCTCCAGAATCAGCCAATTGCGGGTTGCTCACGGTGTCTGGGCCCCAGGGTACTAACATTCATTCTTGGGACATCAAGTTCTCAAGGAATTTGACTAATAGAGAGTTGAGGGAGGTTTCGGAGAAGGTTTCTGATTTTGGGGGGGTATTCACCTAAATGATGGTTTGCAGGATAGAAGAGTGTGGGACCCGGACCCAAACAGGCCATTTTTGGTTTGATCTCATTTTTTAATGCTGATAGCCGAACAATAGTTTCTGGAAAATCCAAGTTCCTTCTAAAATTCAAGTGTTTTTTGGTGTATTTAATGCAAGGAGGAGGGAGAATCAGCAAGTCAACTGTTCCTACGTTGTTCCTTCTCTCCTGGGTGATCTTTTTTCTTAAAAAATATTTGGCCTCCCTTGGGCAATCCCCTCCTCCTAACATTAGTCCTAGGGGCAGAATTTTGTGGCGAGTTGATATTCTAGCAGTCTTCTAGGGCATTTGGTTTAGAAAGAAATAGCAGAATTTTTGAAGAGCGTGTGGAGGAGAGTGGTGTCGTATGGGCAATATAAAGTTTTGGGTCTCCACTTGGGTGTATAGAGAGAGAGAGGGAGAGAGAGAGTTTTGGTAGGCCAATTTTTTCAGATTTGATTAGAAGCTGGGCTCCTTTTGTAATTCATCTCCATTTTTGTTTTTTCCTTGGGTCTGGTCATTTGTATTTTAGTTCTGATTTGTGCTAGTTTTTGTTTTGGGGAGGAAATGCCTTCCTCTGCTTGTATTTTTTTCTTCCATTAATAAAATTTATGTTTCTTCTCAAAAAAAAAAAAAAGGTATTTTTACACGTCAGTGGATTATGCAGAGTAATGTTAATCTTATTTCAATATACCTGAACTTCAAAAGGATCACTGGAAACCATGAGGCGTTCAAAAATCAGCATACTCGCTCCGTACGCAATCAAACAATCACGTTCCATTTCTCCTACACGTAAACCTGAGAAACGAATATGATCAAATATACATTAGTTAAAAAAGAAAATTTGTCCTTCCACATGTATATAAGTAAATGCGCACATATACAAAGATGTAGTTTTTTTTTAAAAATAAATAAACTAAAAAAAAAAAGAACCTCCATTCCGAGCTCTCCCCTCAGTTGGTTGTCTTGTTAGCATGACTCGAGGACCACTACCACGAGCATGCATTTTGTCCAAAACCTAAGCGTTACAAAGTTGGAGGTTAGTAAAATATAGAGTTAAGAAAAAGCATAGGATCAAAATTCTTTAAGTCATTTGAATCTGACCATATGCTTTAGCTTCTGGTAGTATATCGGTCCCATGAAAATATACGCTTGTAGTGGGCACCCTGTAATACCTGAGGAGAAAAAAGAACCAAGATTTATGACGGTTCAGTAACAACCAAGAAGTTGTCATTCTGTTAGTATAAACTAAAGAAGCAACTAAAAAGTTTAGGACAAAGTACCAACAGCTTAAGTTATTGAGATTTTAAGCATCATATCTAAAGATGGTAGTCGTAACAATCACTTACTTTATCAGTAAAATGTCATTGCACAAGATATCAGTAAATTTGCAATATTTTTTTAATGTTCACTCTAAAAAATGGGCACCTTTAAACTCTCAAAAAATAAGAAAACCAAGTACGTGGCAGATACATGTGCTTGATATAATAAACACATGTTTCAAATTGCAATTTCTTGGCCAAAACATTACACCGAACTGAATGATTGTTGTTTAATTTCTCAATATTGCATTTCTTTAATTGGGTAGTAGACTTTTGGTCCTCCTGTCTTTCTTTTATTCTCTTTTGTAACCCTCTGAACAAAATTTGCTCTCATCAAAAAGAAAAAAAGAGCGGCCTGAATTCCTATGTATGCCATCTCCTTCACATGGAATGACTTTTAATTGAAAAATAGACAAACCTGAATATATGAAGTCCTTGCCACTGTAGCTAAACCCCTTTTCCACAAGTGTTTTACTGATGAAAACGGAAAGGCAGGAAGAAAAGGCAATAAATTACAAAAAAGATAAGGAGGTCAAATGAAAGAGGCAAAAAAGATTTGAAGCACCTTATATCCTCCACTTTATCTGCATGACCACTTGGCTCCCCAAAGGCACTACCATAATGGAATCGGCCACATGAAACTCCAGCTTTGCCCCCAAGAAGCTCTATCATCTTGCCGACAGTCATTCGGCTGATCATAACAACAGAACACCAATACTAAAATGACTTGGAAATCACAGAAATCCTTTTTAAATTAAAATTTCACTGATTTCTGTAGGATTCTTAAGACATAATAGCTTGAACAAACACATAAAAGAAATTTCTCCAGCCCCAAACATGCAAAACTCTCCTACTTTTGTCTAAGCTTCGAATTAACTGTTTTGATATCTGTAATATTAAAAATAGAATGCTTGCTTTTGCATATTGAAGAGCATTCTGAAACACCCAAATATGAAAGGAATTTCTCTTTAATAATAATAATAATAATAATAATAATAATAATAATAATAATAATAATAACAATAACAATAATAATAACGGTAATAAAAGAAGATTTCTAGACGGTCAATCAGCAGCATTATAAATCCAATCACCTACATTCCAAATGCACGTTCAAACATTATATTTCCATCTTTAGTTTCAGCAACACAACTTCCATTAAATTGCAAACCAGATTCTAATAAATACAAACAGAAACAGCCACAAAGTCCATCTTGTTATCAAAATTTGTTAATTACTAAGCAAAGTATAGTGGAAAAAAAGGAAAAATGGATATTAAACTGATAATCTCATTTCGCATCGTAAGAACTATGTATAAATTCAACTGTCGTCTAGTTCTAGAAGCAGAAACAGTTTACCTTGGAAATCCGTGAGGATTCATGATTAGATCAGGGCAAATGCCACGCTCAGTAAATGGGAAGTCTTCCTGTTGGACAATGGTGCCACAAACACCTTTCTGTCCATGTCTGCTACTGAATTTATCACCAACCTATGTTCATGAAATTGAAATTAAGAGCAGCATACCGAAAAATGAGGCAAGATTTCAAAACGACACTAAAACCAAACTCTCTTACCTCTGGTCTACGAGTATGCCGAATCAAGAATTTTATACACAAGTTATTATTCTTGTCAGAATAAAGTGCTACTTTATCCACAACGCAGGACTCTCCTTCGGGACCTTTGAATGTTTGACAAGCAGGCTTATAGTCACTGCATATGCAAATAAGGGTACGTAGATTATATAAATTGTCAATATCAATAGATATGTATATGTATAGCTATGTGAAAAAGCAAATAACTGACCTATCTGTTAATCCAGTCCTCATTGGCCCCTTTGTAACTTTAGGTGATTGCTTGTTGATATAGATGTCATTTGGTCTAATAATTTCACCAGGCGCAGCAAGACCATCGTCATCTAATACCTATGGAAGAGAAAAAATATTCAGGGCCTAACATTAATTTGGAATCATATCGAAGAAACGGGGAAAATGCAAACTATCAAGTGCAAATTGTGGTGAACAATCTAAAAAGACATACAAAAAGGTTGCAACAAGTTCCTCCTGTTCAAAGAACACATTTACTTTATAGAAAAGAAAATACTTAAAGGTGGTAATCATTTTCTGTATATTCAACTTTACGTAAATTTATACAAATAGTGATTACGATTAGGTGGTAAAGTCTAGATTCTTCCAACAATAATAATCTTTTACAATTGTTTATTGTTCTAAAAATCATCTGCAACTTAAACAACATAAACCAGAGTAGAAGCTTTAGAGAGTCTTGGGCAATACACGATAGTTCACTCCATAGAATATTTTAACAAATAATTATGAATAATTATGAACATGTAGAGTACTTGCGGCAGTAGAAACTAGAAAGTACTCATGAACAGAATAGTAATTCAACAAAGTGGACAACTTATACTTTACCTATCATCGAAAGCAATGAAATCTACAAGTGATCACTTCAGTAGAGTGTATAATGTTAGCTCTTGTTATTGAGCCAAAATTCATGACAATGATACATCAGGCAAGGTTTTATATACACAACAACAGATGAAAACTAAGCTGCTATAAACACAAAAGGAACTACACAACTCATATTGCAACTATTACCTGCATCCTCGCAGCATCACTTCCTTCTCTATCAGGCCTAATTATCCGGTCTTGTGTGTTATTGTCATACTTTTGATTGATGGCAGAGAGCCTGTTCATTAAGAGCACCCAAGATAAGCAGCCAGTAATGTAAAAAGTACCTATAAATATTAGTTGTTCAAATGTTGCAATGATTGCTTAAAGTCCTTCCAATCAGAAAATTAAAAGAATGAATACGATAACCTTTTCATGACAATACAACGGCCAAAACCACGATCTAGAGAAGCCTTGTTCATGACTATTGCATCCTCTATGTCATATCCACTGTAACTCATTACCGCAACAGTTGCATTCTGCCCTGCTCCGAGTTTATCATAGCCAACCTGAAAGTAGTTAAACAATTAAACCACAGTAGAGGCTTGCAAACATTGTTAATATCTACCCCCCATGCTCACATGGCTGATATCTTATCCATGACCAATGACACTGATACGAATTGGAACTATGGCTTTTGAAGAGGTCTTAATGATAGAGATGGAGGATTTGCATTCTCTACTTCAAGTTTTTAACTGTTTCCCATTTGGTTCGTCCATCCCAATTCGCTGGGTACGATTGTATGACGATTAGGAACCCATCAAGTAGAACTCACCCTTGCAAAACCAGCTTGCAAGAGGAGGGGACTGTTAGGATCCTGGTTGAGTCCCACATTGCTAAAATATGGGCTTAGCATGTGGGTTTATAACCCCACTTGGGCACCCTCTCCCTACAAGCTAGCTTTTGGGGATGAGTTCTACCCAAGGGTTATAACAATTGGTATCAGAGCATAGCCCTCCTCAGGCCCACATTGCAGAAGGGGCGACCTAGAAAGGCCAGAGTGGGCCATCCAGAGTGGGCCGCTGTGGACGTCGGTGTCGGAAGCGTGGTGGTATGTTAGGATCCTAGTTGAGTCCCACATTGCTAAAGTATGTGCTTAGCATGTGGGTTTATAACCACTTGGGCACCCTCTCCCTACAAGCTAGCTTTTGGGGATGAGTTCTACCCAAGGGTTAAAACAGGGACTTGAGGGCTAATAAACCTACTAATAACCTTATACTTTCGCGAAACTTTTGGTATAAAACATTCTGTCACACCCCGCAGCTGTCGTCCACGATGGCCCATCTTCCCAGCTAGATGACTTCGAGGGTCCCGCCTTCTATTGGATAGTAGCCCTCCCCAAGCCGCCCCGTCCGTACCGTAACAGCCCATACTACGTCTGCTGCCAAACTCGACGTGGTAGTTTGTAACAATCCACCATGCTTGGGCCCAAATCAACAGCAGCCTATATTATCGACACTGACCCGGTGATAGCTCTTTTGTCTTCGGCAGCTTCACTTGAAATTTAGTATTCGGCACTTTGACGGCTACAGGGAAGCAACTTAATCCAACCTATAACGCAAGTGCTTTGACTTGAACCGACAACGTGGTGGACTAGCTCTGACACCAATTGTTAGGAACCTATTAGGTAGATTTCACCCTTGCGAAACTGGATTGCAAGGGACGGGAACCAAGGGCTTATAAAACCACAAATCATCTTATAAATAGTCAATATGTTAGCAAAATTAAAAAGTTAAAAAATGAGTTTTTTGATTTTTTAAACAAAGAAGTTGGAGGATTTTTGGTATCAAACAGTGATCCTTCTAAATTCTCTTGCAAACCATTCTTTGGTTCTCTTAGAAAACACAAAAACTAGCTAATGGGATCCGTATATTGTTTACTTTAATATTTAGTTTCCACTTATTAAGGACTTCTTTTATTAGGTAGTTTCCAATTGTAAACATTCCTTATTTTATTTTGGTCTAGTTTCCTATTTTGCTTAATTAGGAATTTAAACTATTTTAGAGATAGGGTTAGTTTCTCATTAGGTGTTGATTTAGTTTCCTCTTATGTTATTTGGTTTTGCTATAATTATAGTAGCATCGTAATTTCAATTCAAAGTTCAAACAATAGACAATGGTTATGTATATCATTGATACGATGTTGGTTGTTTCTTTTATTTTTCTTTGATTAGCTATAGCATACAAATAATAGACAATGGTAATAAATATTGAAATCAATGGTTTATCTCTCTTGAGTTCTTGTTCCTCTCTTTGAGTTCTTGTTCCTCTCTCTCGATTCCCACTATTTCTCTCTCTAGTGGCTTTTCTTCTCTATCTTGAGTCTATTCTTCTACCTCTATTCTCATTCTTATATTGATCCTACATCACCAACTCCATTTTTGAACCTTTCAGCTTCATTTGGAAATCTAGTGTACCACTCAGAATTAATATTTTTGATTGGCTGGTCTTTCAGGAAAACTAGACTTTTGACAGAGTACAAAGGAGGAATCCTCATTTGGCTTTATTTCCTTCCTAGAGTACTCTATGTAGAACTAAGGGAGTGTTATATGTAGAACTAAGGGAGAAACAACCGATCACATGTTACATTGCAAAGTGGGTAGACTTCTATGGACGGAATTGTTAAATTAGGCAGGTTATGGGAATTGGTTCGCACAAAATGACAAAATTTTATAGAGATGTATGGTGATTTCTCTCCTTTGACCTTTGTGGATGGAAAGAAACGCCAAAATTTTTGTAGAAAAGGAAATGGAGGTGATGGATATTTTAAGAAGAATTCTCAGCGTTCCTACGAGCATTGACATATGATGGAAACCTCAACTAATTGACAGAGAACGAGACAAAGAAATGAGAATTTTATTCAAACGCAAGAAATCAACTCACTAACAATGGTGATATTCGAGAGATCACCGACTCTCCTCAATAAACTCTATACAACCCAAAAGCTCCCTCACCTCTCGAGGCCCTCCTCTTATTTATAGGCCCCTCTACTAACAAACTAACTAAATTCAGTTATCACCAAAAATGCTTCCTCAACAAGATTCCTCGACCATCCACGTCAACAACTAATCACTAAACTATAGACCAGTTCCTGGTTCTTATCAACATATAGTGTTTAAAGAGATTCCTTTTTCTTTGATCATTTTAAATTGGAAGGATGATACAGGAAGATGATGGCTGTGTTATTTCTTTAGTTTTCTTAGTTCTGCTACTATGTTATTTACTTCTGCCTATCTTTTCTTTTTCATTATGTACTTTTTTGTTTTAGAGGATACCTTATCCTCTATACCTGTAATTCATAATTGCATCAATGAAAGAAGTTTTTCTTTTTAAAAAAAAAAAAGAAAAAGAAAAAGATGGTTGCAAACAGAATTTCAGGTAAAGCATATACTACTAACTAACCAGCTCAATTGTTCTTGTCGTCAATAGTGGTCTTTGAGGGTAGACTAATAGGTAAAGTAAAGTATCCATCCGACACAGCTACAAAATCAAGATAATACGCTTGTATTAGTCGCACGTAAGCTGTAAAAAACGCAATGCAAACACACTCACAATTTAATAAATAACAAATAACAAAACATAAAAAAGCCAAAACAATACAACTTTTTTTTTCACTTTCAAAAGAAGAAGGAAGAAGAAAGAAGAACAGGGACACAACAGAATGAGTACAAATTGAGACATAAATATACAATGCAAACACACTTGCAATCTTGGTAGGATAAAAAGGGAAACTCGATTTTATCCAGAAAATTACAAATTCTTTAGCTTCAAGGATGTGATCATAGAAGAAGAAAACAATATATGATGTTTCAAAAAAATAATAATAGGGGAGTCAGTGACATCAAAAGCAATGGACTAAGGCATGACGAAGTCAAGAACTTAAAGCTTCACAGACACCCAATTTTCTAAAGAGGGATATAGTAGCTAGCTAAGTTGGAATACTTACAAACACTTATATAATCAATGCGAGTTTCCTATCTCAGAAAACATAAGCCCTCGGCCATCTAAACTGTAAGATTTCTAAAGCTCTATCTAAACAGGATTGCCACTAACAAGGATTCTGAGACATGTCAAGGGCTAAATACCCAGAAACATCCCTGAGATTAAATTCTTAGTTTTATTGCAATCAACATGTTTTTTCCTTTATTAAGTCTAAGCCCTAAAATTAGACCAACTCTAAAATCATATAAATCTTCACCATAGCATGCTTGATATGCATTGTTAAGGCCACATTCTATTAACTTGAATTTCTTGAACTGGCAACGAGAGAAGAGCAACTTATGGAATGAATCAAGTTGCTCGAACAAGAATGAGAAAATGCGACATGAATTCTTCATAAATCAACAAAGGTAATCAAAATTTTCTTGCCAACAAGAAGAAACCATGTAGGTAATGCAAAACAACATGAACACCCCCATGAGAGGAAATACTTATTAGCAAGAATAACCTCAAGAGCCACACACACACACACACACACACACAAAATAAAGGAAGAAAAGGAAAGAAAAGAAGCGACAACAATGACAAAAGAGAAAATATATATATATATATATTAATACTTGCCTGGTTGTATGCGATATTTCCCATAGCTTGTTTTCCCATAGCACACTAAATTTGTGGTAAAAATCAATAATTTGAAATGATGAAATATCAAAATATTTTGATAAAATGTAAAAGGGGTAAAAGAAGCAAACCTGATAGGTATTTCTAGGAGACTGGTTATGATGAGGGTACGGAATCAGTCCGGCACAGACACCCAAGATTGTGAAGGGTTCTATTTCAAGATGGGTTGTTTCTGGTTTAATATCTTTTTCGTATAATGCAATCTACAATAAAATAAGTAATCACATTATTAATGCTCTAAAAGCTAGCATCTAAAACAAAATCCAATGAACATAAAAGACATGAACACACCAAAGCATTGTTTTCCTCATTAACATCGAGGTACTCAATCAATCCCTCCCGCAAGAAATCATCAAACGTACGGACTCCATCCTAAGAAGGAAACCAAGCATGTGAAACATTAAACTAAAAAATTTTTTCAAGAAGAGGCACAAATAAATGACTTACTGCCAACTCCTTCATATGATGTTCTTTGACCTTTGACATGCCTTTCTCAACAATGACCAATGGACGGCAAACTCGACCTCCATCAGAAGCAATGTATACACACCGCTGGAGTATTATTTTTGTCAAGTTTGGCATTTACTAGCAGGCTATAATAAGTGCCAAAACTAGCAAACCAGACTTAAATGCATTGGATTGGGGTCCTGGGGATAAATGGCAAGATAGAAGGATTACCTGCTTTTCATTGACAAAGACACTTACAAACTCTCCAACTTTTCCTGCTCTACGCAACGTTCTAATTGCCGTAGAAAAAGCCTACAAAGGAAGAAAAAGGTTATTACAGCAACAGGAAAAAATAGATAAATCGTTCAAAGTAGAAAATAAAATCAAATAGTTAGTTACATATATATTTGCCCATGAATATGGAACATTGCACGTACCTGTGGCCTCCGATGCTTACCAAGTATATGCCCATTGAATATAACAAGAAAGGAATTTGGTGCATGAAGCTCTTCTCCAGAGAGAAATGCCAAGTCCTCAACACCCAAAGTATAGCACTAATCCAACAATAGTTCAGGTAAATAGAAAATCATCAAATACTAGGCATAAAGGGACTTACGAACTGATACATTCAATAAAACATATTTCTGCTAAGTTTGACTTTGCAATTTTGAGAGGCCGGTTGTAACATACCAAAATCTTAGCATAGCTTGTAATTTTACGCACATATCTTTTAATCATGCATATGGAAAGGTCTACATGCATAATTTTCGGAGTACCAATTTTCTTGCAATTTGTAAAGATCATACTTGCAAGGTATAGTGTCATTTTTTTCTTGTTTTTAAATAAGAAATAAAACTTTTGCTACATAAAACAAAAGGAGAACAAAAGACTTAAGGAACCCCACAACCCCTTGAAACGAAGACGACATTGCAAAAAGAACCTAGGGAACCACACAACCCCTCGACCTAATAACAAGACAATCGAGGTCAAAAGAATAAGCTACAAAGGGTTGTTCTACCAAAAAAAAAAAAAAGGGTTTTCCCAAAAAAAAAAAAAAAAAAAAAAAAAAAGAAACAACAACAATCCATCTGCGGCTTAATTGTTAGGGGCATTTGCTTCTGCTTTCCTATTTGACTCACTCATTAATTAACACAGCAGTCAAAACTCCACGGACATTTAAAAATTTCAATACTAATACAAAAAATACCAGAGTAATTAACGGGCCTTCCTCTTCATCAGTTGTCACATGAGTCATAAGAGCCAAATTTTTCACAAGTCCACAGGCTTCACCTTCAGGAGTATCGCAAGGGCAAAGCATACCCCACTTATAGCAGAAAGAAAAACATATAAAAAGAAAAAAGAAAGAAAAATAAATATTCAGATTCCAACTGCTAACAATGTGAAATACAAGATACATGTTTTAAGATAATGTTTGCACATCACTCTTTACCTGACTAGGTTGCAATGCTCTTGGACCACTTACTTTCCTTGACTTCTCAAATTGAGGTAGGATTCTGGTCATATGACCTAGACTACCTATAAAGGATAACCTAGCTAACACCTAATAGAAGGATTAGCTATAAGCACAGGCTTTATAAATGAAATTTTAATCAAAGAATTGACAAAGAAAATGATACAAACCAAAATGTATGTAAAATTAAGAAGTTATATGGAAGGCAGAAAGTAAAGAAATGTAAGTTTTTTAACAAATATAAAAAATAAAAAAAAATAAAAAAATAAACCTTCAGATATTAAGCAACTTCTTTTCATCTCATTGAAAATTTGTTATAGTATATTGGGGGATTTTTGAATTGCTTAGGTGATCCCAATCAGAAACGTAGATTTGATGGATAGTAATTCAATGGTCGGTAGAACAATAAAAATAAGAGGAGGAATGTGGTTTTATAGGAAGCTACGAGGGAGTTAGGTTGGAGAGGAACAAACACATCTTTGAAGAAGTCAAGGAAGAGATTGCAGAGGTTTCGAAAAGAATCAACTATTGGGTAGCTTAATACCAAGGACTTTGCTGATGTCTCATTTTCTGATATGTTAAGGGGATGGGATATAATTTTGTAATGGACTTGGGAGTTCTCTTGTGGTTTGGATTTGTGTTAGTTGTCTTGTGTTATCTGCATTAGATGTTTTTTGTTTAAAATATAAAAAAAAAACATAATTTCCATCTCATTCTAGAAACCAAATTCTTTCCCCTTTTTCTTATCATAACTTAAATGGTAAGAAACCACTAGATCTTGCTTCTTTGTTAAATTTCCTTTAAAACACTTGTAGGGATTTGGTTAAGGCCAAGGTCCAACAATAAAATGTGTCATTTGTTTCGCGGGGTTGAATCATTATTCAAACCTTTTTGCTGGAGTGTTTTCTCTCATAAAAATTTGAATGTCTCTTCAAACTTTCGGGTTAAAATTTATGAACCGAACAACATCAAAATATGTGGTCCATTAAGATACTATTATAATTCTTTCTATTCTAATTAAACATCACCCTTTGACTGGTTTTGAGTCTTTTCATTTCATTTGGAAGTTGGTTTTCCACAAAAAAATTGAAGTTTTTTTTCCAGGTTTCTAGGCAATACGAATCATATGACAATAATGATGTGATGCACAGTAAAAAGACTATTCATTCAGCACTTCTCACTAGTCTGTTCTTTATCAAAGAACTTGAGAGAAAATTGACCCTTGGTTTTTTTTTTTTTAATTATTATTATTTTGAACGAATTATGTTAATGGTATCAAATTGACTATTAGTTTTAAATTGAAAGTCCTTGAATTGAACCTATAGTTTCACCTGGTGAAAGGCTGGTTTCTCTTTGGGTGTTTCGGTTAGTCTCTTCCACAGCTTTAGGTTTTATCATAACTGATAAAGTAAAGATCAAAATACAATGAAACTAGTCATAGCTTGAAATCTCTTCGGTGGTCAGTGTTTTTACAGAAAAAACAATAAAACTTATCAGCGGAATGATAACACATGGGCCAAGAATCATTCACTCAAGTAGGAAAATGTCTGGTGAATATGTTACAACTAATGCAAGATATAGATAGGCTCCGAGCAGATGAAGAAATAAGGGAAGGAAATTATTGGAATTAAACAACCTGTGTCATGCCTTTCCGGTTCATCTTAAACCGTTTAACATCCCAATTTCCAGTAGAAAGGCTCCTTTCAAGGCCAACTGTTATTTTATCGGTGACTATATACTGCATTAAGATAGGGATGAAAAACTTATATCATGTTATAAAATAAGAAAAAAAGATAGCGAACAAAATGAAGTTTGAAATCACATTTCCTGTACAAAATATTTGTCAACAGGTACAAAAAATTCTATGTAGTCTCTTCATGTGATGAAACAAAAGCACAAGTCAAGAAGTTGAAACAAAAATACATGTAATAGGGTTGTGAGGTTGTCAATATACTCTGAGAGATATAAATATCTAAAAACAAGGTGATATGAATTATGAAGATTGCTGGTCAAGTTTTCACTTGAAATTCTTTTGAGGTAACAATTAACGGTACTAACCTGAGAAAAATCAAACCGACTTGACCTGCTCGGCTTTGATAAAATATTGTCCACAGCCCTCCTAACCTCAGTAATCATTGACTTGAACAAATCCTGAAATATTAAAAAGATTGTTGAAAATAAATAATAAAATAAAAAAAATATAAAAAGCCAACCATTATACAACAGAATAGAGCACAACCAAGCATACCTCAAAAAGTAGAGAAATAAGCTGACCAGATAATTCCAAACGCTTGTTCCCCACATAATCCTTAAAACATGGAATAAAAAAACTTTAGTGTCCACACAACACACGCGCACCAACTCGAAAGTCAATACTGACAAAATTATTAAGATGAATCCCCTTCTCAATCGACACAACTACTAAGTTATTGCCATATGAGTGCTAGAGGCGAAAAGACTGATCTAGAGATTAAAGGAAATTCTCTGCAAGTTCACATAGGACTCTAGCGACAAACAAATAATTTTCCTACCTAGGGATGAATTATTTGGAGTTTGGACTAATAGTTGTTGGAATAAAAGGAATCCACTTAAGAGGATAGTGGTTTTCTCATTCTTACGGTAACTAAAAGAAACTGGAAGAACATTTCCGTGGCCCTTGCAATTCTTTGTTCGAATGGTTGTTAATATGTAAAGACACTTCTATACGTAGGGCCAGTTTGGTAGTACTATAGATTATGAAAAAATTGCTTTTAACTGTGCTAAAGGAAAAAACAGCTCTTACAAAAAACAACTGAGTGTTTAGAAAATTGTAATTATACAAGTGTTGTTGGTTCCAAAAGCAGTGTAGCAGCGTTTGGTAAATTGTGAGGTTAAATTGCTGTGGGTAGTTAAGATGATTGTAATTAATAATTTTAACTTAATATATAAAGTAATTAATAATTGATAATTATTTAGCAAATAAAAATTTATATATTAATAATATAATAATAATGGATAGATTATTATTAATAAGTACATTAGTAATTAAACTATATATATAATAAATTAATACGCTAAACAATTAAAAATAGTAATTAGTAATTAATTATAAGTATTAACTATGTTAGTAATGTACTCATATTTATTAGATTATACGTAATTATTAACTATTAGTTACATAATTAAATAATTAGTTAATTAATTACTTATGTTTATTTAATAATCTATTATTTGATATATCACATGATCAATTTTTGATAATTATTCTTTTTATAATGATTAATTACTAATTATCAATTATTAATTATTATTGATTAATATATTACATATTGATAATTATAATTTAATATTAATTATTAATTGCGTAATTACTATTTATTTTTTATTTACCAACTATTAAATAATTAATAGATTATAATTAACATAATAATGATTGTTATATTAATTATTAATTATTTATTTAATAACCTATTATTGCTTGTTTTATTGTTAATATGTTATATAATTAATTTTTAGTAATTAATCTTTAACTAAATAAATAATTGCTATATTATTTATTATTTTATTCACAAAATTAAAAACTTAATAGTAATAAATTAATATTTAATTAATAATTAAGTAATTACTATCTATTTATTAGTTATTACGTATATCTATTTATTAATTATTAATTAATATATAATATAATTAGTAATTAATTATTAATTATTTAATATAACTTTATTGATAATCATTAATTGCACAATGTTGATTCCTGCAAAATTTAAAAGTCAAATTTGTCTTTGGGCTACTTCTGATTTTGGCTATAGATTCTTCAAAAATTCTTTAAAAATCACTTTTTATGGTTTTTACCAAACACCATTATCAGCTTCTGATGTTAGATAAGCGATTTTGGGCTCCAAAAAGCACTACCAAACGCACCCATAAGGGTGTTAGAAGCTTTGGGTGCGTTTGAAATTCATTTTTGCTTGTTTTTTAAAACGTTTTTCACGTCTTTTGAGTCACGAAAATGAAAACGGTCTGCAAACCATATTTGTTTAACAAATGTTTTGATAACAAAATCAAAAACAAAAAACAGTGAGAATGGTTTTTGTGAAGGAATTAGAAAACGATTGAAAGTTGTTTTCTATTTTCTGATTTCATTTTCTAGTACTTATCAACAGTATTATAATATATTAATTAATAATTATAACCAAACACGATTTCATTTTTTTATTATACTCAAAACAATCTCTTCAAAACCAACCAAACACAATTTCAAAATTGATCCCAGAATGATTCTCAAAACAATCTCATTTTTACTTTTGTATTGAAAGCAAAATCATTTTAAAAACGTTACCAAACAGGCCCTTTAATTTTGTTGCACCCTTTTTCTTTTCCAACGTAAAACCAGTACCAATTTGAAAGATTTCTGACATATAAGTTCTGAAAACATAATGTAACGCAAAGTTCAGAAATAAATTTGAACTTAACGCCTAGCTCGTCACTGACACTCATGACTCAGGTATGAACCATGTCTTGCCATCCTAATTTGCAATCTTGGTTCAAAAAAAAATTAAGGTATATACTATTATAACAGCAAAGATCCATGTTTTCATGAGTCACCTACCTTGTCATCCATTGCATCCTTGTTTAAGATCGCATCCATTATGCGTCTTATCATTACAGCAACATATATGCATTTCGGGCGGAAGTTATTACCATGCACCTAAGTGGAAGAGAAATAAAAGAAATAGAGGCGTTGTGTGAATTGAGTAAGCATATGAACACTGCTAAAAACATTAAAAATAAAAGGAAAACAGAAAAAGTACCCGAACATTTGCGAGGAACACATCTTTAAGTATTGCCATCACTCTATCATCCTATTGCGCAAGTGAAAAAAAGCGGATTTCGCATGTTTTATCAAATTAGTGTCTGAACAACGAGAAATAATAACATACAAGCACATTCGTAAAGTGAAAGAAATAAGCTCAGGGAAAAATTAGCTAAATAGCCTTTTTTTTACCACCTTTTTTCATAAATAACCGACTTTTTATTTTACAAAAATGGCCAAACTTTTTTACAAAAATGACCATTTTTATAAGGAGTCAATGACCCACAGCCAATCAGTGAGTGATTGGCCCATAATTTATTAATGGTTTATAACTAATAAAACTTATAATTTGTTAATTGAAATTGATTAATTACTAATTGATTTTAGTTAATTATTAACTAAAATTGATAAATAATGAAGAAGCATCAAGTTAAAAAGTGATAAACTAAAATCAATCATGATGGACCGCTAAGTCAATCAGTGATAGACTGCTGAGTTAATCAGTGATTGACCAATAAGTTAATAACAACGGCCATTTGTGTAATTTTACAAAACTTCGGCCATTTATTAAAAAAAATCCTTCAAAAAGGGCCATTTGTGCTGAAATCCCTAAGTTTAAGAGTCTAGAGAAAGGAGTACCTTTTCAGATGAGGCACTAGGGAACATGGGTTTTTTCACCTACAAAAAGCACTCAATTATAACTAAAACATGAACAAGGAGATGCATTTATTAAACAACAAATAAGATGGATAGCGTATGCTATTATCAGTTTATTTCATTCCAATGATTAACAACGTTAAAACTTGAAAGTAGAAAGTACATTTTTTTTTATAAGAAACGACAAAATTTCATTAAAATAGTAAAAATTTACAAATTCAGTGTTTTTTTTTTCCACGGATGAGATATCCATCCAGGAAAAGACAAAAAGAAAAAGACTACAAGAATAAAGGGAAACAACAACCGATCAGAACAATTCTTGACAAACTACCCAAGCATTGAATGAAATCAAAATAACATGAAAGTAGAAAGCACAGTTTTGTTTTACAATCATTGAATGAAATCAAAAGGCCAACCAAGGACAAGGGGTTTCAAAAAGAAAGAAAAAATAAGTACAAGGTGGGAAGAGAGAGTAGTTACTTCTTAGCAAGGAAGAGAGAGAGAGAGTAAACAAATACAGCAAAAACTAAACAGCTCTCATATCATCCGATGACCCACAACATGCTTCCAATTTAATATGATCAAAGACAGATTATAAGCCTTAAAATGTGTCCGCCATAGCACAAGGAAAAGTTAAATATTTAATTCTCAAGTCCATTTATTAAGGTCTTGTACAAATGCCACGTATATTTGTATAAAGACAATGTGTTAATGAAGATGAGAACCTCGCATTTTAATCTAATTTTATAACACAGGGAACATTGACAATAAAAAAGAAATTCAATCTAATCAGTAGATAATAAACTCTAATAGAAACCAAACAAAAAGAAAATCATAAATGTTATGATACCTTTTCTGTTTTCTTTTTTCTTTTTTTTTTTCCTTTTATGATAAAAAGGTCAATTTTTACATAAGCCCAACTGCAAAACTTTCAAAAAAAGAAAATAACTAATGAACTCTAATTAAAATTAAGAACGTGAAATCCCTATTCAAACTAGTGGATGTACAGGTTCAACTTTATATGTTGGGCCAATATATTTAATGCTTAAAGATCTATGATCACTTTAAGACATGTTAAGCATTACAGTAAACAACCTTAGTTTACCTTTGATTCTAGATAGCCCAAGGCCTGCTCTTGTGTGTATATGCCTTCCTTACCACATTCCTGAAATTAAGCAATACAATATAAATCTAAAGATAAGAACAATAAAGAAATTGGAAAAAGATAATAGAAAATGTCACAGACTCAAATAGGTTTTAAAAAATGATTCTTATAGTATCAACTATTAGAATATAAATTATCCAAGCTTTTCCAAGAAAACAATAGAAAAAGGAGAATACAAAGAAAAAAAAAAAAGGAAAACGGTCCTCGAAAGAGCATAGGAAAACAAAGAAGACGCCACAAAACAACTCCTAGAAGCTAATGAACATTTCTAAGGTGTTTAGATGAAGTGGACAGCGAAGCCCAGTCCCGAATCCTATCCCACAAAAAGATTCCATCCTGAAGCTTATCTTCAACAATCTGGGAATCACCTTGAGTTAAAAATAAATAAATAAATAATAAAAAAAAAAGAAGCTTTACAAGAGAGTAGCAAGAGCTGTAAGCCTTTGAACAAACTGTATTATGATTCAGTACCAAACTGAACACTGTGAAAATTAAACTTCCAAACATCCAACGAGGAGGAATCATGGGAAACAAGCATGGTAGAAACAGAAACATTATGAACAAGGAAAAGACACAGATAAGGAGGATTTTCCCTTCCAACAGTCTTCTCTTTCAATTCTAGCTCCATGACCCACCACCAGCTTAGTGCAAGAAAGAAAAGATAGCAAACTTGAGAAACAAACATCCAAGGACTTCAAAACCAGCCTTGTAGTGAAAAATGCCATGATATTCCACAGAATACGAAGTCCATATGTAATATCAGCAAGCAACTAGAGCAGAAGAGATACATGTCGTAAACAGACAAAAGATACAAAGATCAAAAGAGAGAAAAACAGCCAACCAATGTGTAGCAGAGGACATAAAATACCATCTAGCCTCTGTTTTTGGTTTTGGGCCTTTGAGACTGAGAGTGGTTTTTGGGTCTATGTTTTTGGTTTCAGTCCTGGCATTGCTTTGTTTGGTTTGTTTTGTAATAATTTTTTGCGACACATTGTCCTCTGTTTATTTGTACTTTTCTTGTGACATTAATGTCTGAAAATCTAAAAATCATTATAGGGGTATATGTTCCTAGTTAAGGCAAAAGGAAATGTCTAAAAATCTTATAAAAATCTGAAAATCCATCAAAAACAAACAAAACAAACAATCAAGGATCTATAAAAGGCTTATCCATTAACACTCTTGCCGTGCCCTATTTATCAACTTCAATGAGTTATTCCAATTAAGCCTACCCTCTAATCTATAATATATTGCATTCACACCTATGCTTGTACTTGAAAAACAGTATGTCATGTAAAACAGTAACTATTAACAGGTTCCAATTTGGACTTGTTTGGAAGATTTTTCAACATGATTTATCGTTGACGAGCCTAAATGTTCAAAATCATTACATTGGTATACGTTCCTACTTAAGACCAAGAACAATCTCATCGTAAATCATACTTTCTGGAAGTATTTAAACTTCCCATCAAAGCAAGACACATCTTTGAGTGGCCTACCCTCTAATCTATAATATATTGCATTCACATCTATGCTGGTACTTGAAAAACAGTATGTCATGTAAAACAGTTACAAAACTATTAACAGGTTCCAATTCGGACTTGTTTGGAAGATTTTTCAACATGATTTATCATTGACGAGCCTAAATGTTCAAAATCATTACATTGGTATACGTTCCTACTTAAGACCAAGAACAATCCCATCCTAAATCATACTTTCTGGAAGTATTTAAACTTCCCATCAAAGCAAGACACATCTTTGAGTGGATTCTCACCTCGAGAGATGGCATAAGAAGAGCACTATACCGAGGATCTCTTCCAAGCATTTGTACTACTTCTTGATCACTCTCCATTCCCATGGCCTTTATGACCACCATAATAGGAATCTAGAGAAAATATTAGCAAAGTAAATATCACTGACATCAAACAGCTAGGATAATAAGTAAAGCAGAAACAAAAACAAAGATTTGAAGTTTTTTTTTTTTTTGTGTTTAATAAGAAAAGAGTGAAATGATTACCTTTTTGGTAGAAAATTGGTTAAGCATCAAATACAATTTCTCCTTTTCCATCTGAATGACAGTTTTGCTCTTTATTGCTTCGGAGCTGCTCGTAACAGATGCGTTTATGCTGAAAAGAGAAAAAGGAAAGAAGCCACAATTAAAAGTAACCATCAAGTGCCAACATCCAAAGGCTTAAACAATGTAGAAAATACAATATTTCATAATATATATGAAATAAGAAAAGACAGAAGGATAGTGTTTTTAGAGAGTGAGAGAGAGAGGTGTTATACCCGTCGACATTTAAAAAAAAATAAAGAATCTTTTTTTAGTAGAACTTTCTTTTATTGATGATAAAAGATTAAAGGAAAAAAAGAGTGACAATACATGACAAACCACGAAGAGATACTCACTTTCCCTTCTTGTCAGTGTCAATGATGATCCTATTTTTAGAAAGTTGTTCTTGTATGAGAAGAACCTGGAAGATCAGATTAGTCATATCACATTAAGGGCACATAAACCATAAATAGGTGTCACCACTTTTAGAACTCTAACATAAAAAGTAACCATATTGAAAATAAGCAGATCCAAAATACAATAGAGTAAAGACGGTACTTTACCTTTTCAGTTCCTTTGACAATAAAATATCCCCCAGGATCAAGTGGACATTCACCTATAGGCAAGTTAAAAGAAACATATGAATAAACAAGAACGTGTAAGGGATGAATAAATACCACTGTGTTTGTTACAAGAGAACACAGAAAACGCACACCAACCTAGTTTTGCAAGTTCAGCTTCATCTTTTCCATATAAGACACAACAGCAACTCCTTAACATGATAGGCATTCTTCCAATAACAACATCAGTCTGTAAAAATAGGCGAGATATAGCAAAGAAATACATGTGCTCAAGCAAATATATGTGCCAACAACAACAGCTTGTGCATACCTTCCCTGATTGAATTTTTTGGTTATGACTTCCATGAATATATTCGACATCCGCCTTAATGGGAGCAGCGTACCTACATTATTTAAATACCGGACAAATCAAGAAACGAACAAAACCATTTTATACATCAATACCACCAACAGGAATGGGAATGTCAAATCCAGCAAAAAGAAAAACAGAAAAGATTGCAAGCCATGGACAATGAATCTTACGTCAGATCAGACAATCGACACGTTTGGGGATCAAGCTTTTCACTGACACCATCCATTGTGACGGAAGGCTCACCAATTCGAACATCAGTAAACCTACATAGAAAATATAAATAAACTTTAACATAAAGGATGATCGATACCCTGTTCCTATGAAGAAAGAGAATTCATCTTAGATATCTAACTTTGCAATCAGTACAACAACATTCCCTCTTTACTTCAAACAATCATCAATTAGGCAAAGCATAAAAATACCTTGGCATTCTTATTAGAACTGAAAGAAAATAACTATTGACAAATTAGAGTAAAGTCATCCAGTTTTCCATCAAACACTTAAACATGAATTAATTAACAAAAAAAATTAACCTGAGATATATACTCGGGTCGACACTGGACACAATGCGACTGTTGGAGCGCACAATTTTCTTGATTTCCGTGTTGACAAAATAATTAAATGAGTCCAAATGTTGCTTTACCAAACCTCTCACCTACAATTCCATTAAAACAACAAACAAAATGACAATAACCACACAAGTAAAACCATTCAAAATACATTCATAAATGAGTAAATTTCTAATAAGCATACCTTTAAGAATTCAGGGAGAAGCTGGTACTTGTCGACCGCTCTTTTGATTGGAGCAGCCAGGAATTGCTTATCAATAGCGGGGCTCAGGATTGTGCCGTCACTATTCAAACACCAAAACATCATTCAATGTAATCTTGAAACCTAAAAAACGCTTGCTCCAAAACCTCAACAATAACCCAAAAGACTAAACAAAAAAAAAGTACCTTGTAATGGACGAGTCTCCATGGACAGTCATTGTGCAAAAGTTACAATAACAATAAGGTATTCTGTTCTGGCACCCAAAAATAAAAATAAAATTATGGAGCAAAAACAAAATTACACTCTAATCAGAGACTAAAATATCATTAAGAAAAACTCTAGACACATAAACGCATAAGCAGAGGGGAATTAAAACCAGTGGATTTCTTTCAGAATCATTATAATTCTTAAAACTATTTGCATATGAAATGAAAGCTTTGAGGAGGTATTTATTTCACAACCTACTGAGCGACCACCAGAAGAAAGAGAAACGTAGAGAGAAAGAGAGAGAGCGAGACGGAGAGAGGGAGTGAGAGCGAACTAGAGAGAGAAAGAGATGTGAAAACTAACTCTGACGGCGGAGAAGAGGACGGAGCGCGGGCGGAGCTGGGTTGGGCGTTGCTGCGCGCGGGCAGTTTTGGGTTCGCTGGGCTTTTCTGAAAGGTGGTGCTTAGGGTATATTTGATACAATATAATTCAAAGATTTAAATTATAGATGTTGAAAAAAATATTATAATAAAAAAAATTAAATTTTAATTTTTATAAAAAAAATATTGTATTAATAAAATTTAAGTTGTGATTTAAATTATAAAATGATTAAGAAAATAAATTATTTATTAAATTTAAATTTGTAACAGTAAATTATTCGTGAAAATTGGATTTAAAATTTAGCAGTGCAAATAAATATTTCATGAAAAATATTTATTTTCAACCTAAGAATTAAGATAAATATTTTTTTACAACATTAAAATAAGTGTACACACATATTTTCCTTGGCATGTTCATTTTGGTCTTTTTATATTCAACATAAATTTAGGTAACGTTTAGTTTATAGATTTGATATCATGATTTATGATTTTGATTTTTGAAATTTAAATTTTTATGAAAGAAAAACACTGTAGAAAATTATGAACTATGATTTATAAACAAAGACGGATACATGAAACAAACATCCCTTTAGTCCTCATAGGTTGTCACAAGAAGAGGAAAAAGAAAAAAGGAGTAATTTAAGGCCTCATTCAATTTGTCGATTCAAGTTTTCAATTCTAATTGAAATGTGATTTTATGTGAGAACTTTTAATTGTAGCATAAAAGTTAAATGTAACTGAGAGCTTTTAACAGTAGTAAAATTAGAATTAAAAACTCAAATCGATAAAATGAGTTCCTCCAACCAAACAATGAATTGACTCTCTCCCTCTGCCCCTCCTCATCATTCTAAACCCTAAACCCTAAACCAAACACAACTCTTTTTGCCCTTTTTCAAATTTTTTCTTTTTTTATTGAACGAATTTTTCAATTCTATTTTTTTCGTGACTTTATTGTCATTTAAGGTTGAACAAAAATAACCAATAATCGATCAAATCAATCACACACTACCAAAAGCAGACCAAAAAAAGCCATTGGAAGCGATGAGCAATGTCGGTGTTAGTGAAACTAAACCGTCCAATGTTGGTAGCTCGATCATAGGCTTCGGTGCTTTCTGTTTGGTTAGTGAACCGAAAACCGACCTTTACCCTAATTCCCGTGAAAATTTCGACATTTCCTCACCTTGCCCATGTTCCTCAACCTCTCGTTTCTTTTCCTTCTTTTATTATTCACAAGAATCCTAATATAAACATTTGATTTGTGGTCAAGTTCTCTACTAAAGTTAGGCCTAAGCCCAAAACTAATGGTTTTTTTTTTGTCTTCAAACCTTTCAAATACCCTAGCCGCACAACTGCTTCCCTTCTATTCTGCTTCGTCTTTTTTGCTTCTATAATGCTTAGCCAGCCGTCCAAGTCTCCTTCTCAATCGTCATTCACTGTACCGCCCTCTTTCGTCGTTCAAGAAGGCAGTTACAATGGTGACCCGATCGATTATCAATCTATCAGTTTCTTCCATTTTCAGGCGGTACTCGATTTTCATAAATGGCAAAACCAAAGACGTCGATCTGGGATCAAATCGATCAAAACTATTGGTCACCAACCAATGTACAACCATACTATTTCCCTCCTTTTGCTAGTTGTAGTATGACATTTTAGGAATTTTATACAATACACATATATCATATATGAGTCGTTTTAAAAATCACATTAAAGGACATTACACACTTATTCTATCAATACCACACGCAGTTTCACACCGCATTACGCTTGCAATTACAATTGTTATCGTGTCATTTCTCTGCCAATTAACTGATTTTTTAGGGAAAATATCGTATTGATACATTGTGTTTTCTTCAAATATGTTTTTAGTACTCTACATGTTTTATAATTTTGAATGGAATTGAAAATATTATATATTCTACATGCTTAAGTACTTAATTTATTAGAAGTATTTCTTTTAAAAAACTTTACTCGTTGACTAATTTTAGTCTAAAATGTAAAAATATATGGGTTAATGTTAAGCAATAGAAATAAAAAGGGCTTCATTTTAAAGGGTATTTTAAAAAAATAAATAAACTGCCCATTTGAATTAGTAGTTCGACGTTTTAAAAAATCGGTTTTGGTATCTTGAGACCTCTTTTAAAATATAAAATGTCGAATTTACGTGACTTACTAAAATTTGTAAAACATACTTTAAACAATGCTTTAAATATATTGAAATATTAAAAAATGAAAAAAAAATCCAAAACCCAAATCACAATAAGAAATCAAACCTAAATCAGCAGAAAAGACATGTTTACAGAGAACAGAGTAAACTCTAGATCACAATAAGAAATCAAACTTAATGTCTCGTTTAGTTCACTGATTTGAGTTTTTAATTTGAGTTAAAATGTGACTTTATGTGATAACTTTTAACTGTAGCAGAAAAAGTTGAAGTGACTTACACACCAAAACCAGAATATGTTAATTTGTGTGTTGCTAATTTGATGGAGGCGCCAAGAAATGAGTGGAATGAGAGGAGTATTGAAGATTTATTTCTTATTGTGGATGGAGCTATCGTTTTTTAGCATTCGGGTGGAGACTCAAAGAGGAAGTGATAAACCTTAAGGCACCTGAATCTTGAAACTTTACCATAATATGCACCAGCCTACAATGGAGAATCTTCATAATGGAGGTCTGTGATCCATGCTCTTTGTTGTTCTGGTATGTCTTAAAGCGTGTGGATGTGCACTTCTCTACGATTTGCCCTTTACAGGTTTAAGGTCTCTTCCAACAAAGGTTTCTTGCTCAATATAAGAGACGAATCCAGGAAGAAATTAGCGTGGAGTTTTTTCGTATTCTATTGCAGATGCAGGGCTTTCGATGAAGTTGATCGTCGACGCAGCAGTTCAGGTGGGCTAATGGAAGTTTTATTGGTTTTGGGGGCGATCGTTAAACTACTACTACTACAAAAAGAACGTCAGCCATACGGCCTTATCTTGACATTCAAATAAATTTGAACTGGAATACGAAACTGATATGCAAAATCAAACTAATAAACCTCATTTATCATACTAAACCAGCAATATTAAATGATAATATTTTTGATAAATAAAATGGCAATAAAAATAGGATTAAAGATGCTAACAGTAAGCACTGTATTAGATAATATATGTTTTTCAACTCAAATGCCAACTTGGCACATAAATTAATATATAAATAGCGTCTCGCACCATAGATAATTTCCTAATTAGTGGGGCTCACTTTTGTCTTCCTCCTGGGGGACTATATGGGGTCTGCTTCCCTCACCGTCATCAAGTCAAACAACTCTTTCTGTCTATAATATTAATTTTATCCTTTTATTTATTCACATGCAACTCAGACTGGCTATTCATTTAATGCTTTTTTGTTTTTGTTCAATTGTAATTTTCTCACCGCCTTCAGCACAGGATATATATATATATATATATATATACAGAGCGATATATATAACTGATAAAAGCAAAGAAACCATATATCATCTTTCATCACATCACCTAAAAGCCATTCTTAAAGCAGTCCACGACATTTCTTTCTCAGTACTTTCCCCCCCCCCTTTTTTTTTTTTGGTATTTCAGCTCTTCTCTCTCTGCCTCGTTTAAATCATTTATAACTATAAAGTAAAACCCCGGCCTAAGAATTACAAATTAGCCACAGCTTTCAAGTTAGCCATACATATCTAAAAAACCCCATTAAAACGTATCCTCTTATTTTCCATATCCAAACCATCTCTTACAGCGCCTTTAAGAAAGCCAGCTATATATTCATGTAGATCACATATATACTAGTTGTTTTCTCTATATCTAGCTAGTTGTCATATTTAATGGTTGACTTAATTTATAGGTATATTATATATCCTAGTTTTCATGTATGGCTATTAAACCCTCTAAGGTTATTGTCTTTTTTCTTTTAATTCTCAATATGTTTCATCTTACAATGGCTGAGAAAGAGCACGGTTTAGTCCGACATGCTATTAAGGCCTCTTCTAGATCGGTGAATGAAGGAACGATGAAGAGAAATGTGAAGGTGTTTACAACGAGAAGGCCGAATAATGAGGTTGGAAATTCAAGAACCCTTTCAATACGCCGAAGTGCTTCAATGGCGAGTACTGGTGCTGCGCTTCATGTTCATCCACTGGATCAAAGAAGAAGATCGGGACGGTCTCGACCAGCTCGTCGGACGCCGTCGGCGTGGCAAGAGAGTGTCTTCAATGCCAGTGTACATGAAGTTCCAAGTGGTCCAAATCCCATTTCCAATAGGTGAGCATATGACCTAGAAACCTGCAAATCATATAACTCAAAGATTACTTGATATATATGTATTTTCTCTTTTTGATATCTTTAGCTTGGGTTTGTTGTGCTTATTGTGTTGTGGATTTGTATACAGTTGTATCTTTTTGCTCTTCTAAAAACTTATTTAACTCTAATTATATTACTACAATTATAGATTCTTAAGTTATTGTTTTCCATCACTGAACCTTTCAAACAATTATTTGGCCATGAGTATGATATATATGCAGATTCTAGTAATAATTTCGGGTTTGCTTCATTATTGATAGTTGTCATCATTATAATTTAGTCTTGCCATGCATTTTCGTCTCTCTCCCTCTCTTTTTCCTTTTGACGACTTCCAAGTTTTTTTTTTTATTTTTATTAATTTCGTGTTCGTTTTTAAATAGGAATTTAAAAATCCCCCTCTCCCTTCCTCTTTTTGATTAAGAATGCTTCTTTGTATAGTTATTTATGAAAATCTGATTAGAATTTTTGTTACCGCTAAGTTGGAAAAATATAGCGTACCAAAACGTACGTTTTCATGATCTTGGTTATACAACTATTATGAATTTGAAGCTGTTTTTTTTTTTTTTTTTTTGGTTCTTTTTAAGTGGAATTCAATTAGATCTCTTTAATACGTACTTCTACCATTAAGAATGCTAGAATCCAGTGGTTCTTTATTTAATAAAATGAAACAAGAATAAGAATAAAATGGAATTAATAGAAATTAGGAATAGATAATTTAGTGGTTTATTTTAATTTCATTATTTATAAGTTCAACATTAATCTAA